CTGGCCACCAATCTGAAAGTGGAGCGGCTGATGATTTTTGGTAGCGACCTCTGTAGGTGTCATATCGTGGTGCGATGCGACTCCCACCCGTATTGATTCTTTCGTGTGTGTCTCTTCGATGGTGTTTCCCAACTACACGTCGCAATGTTGTCGCCGGCCCCGTCCGCGCAGTTCAAAGTAGATTTGCGCTCTTGAATCCCCCCATAGTGATGTTCGGCAGTGGCGCACCGCAGAAAAGAAAATCGCAGGTTGACTTACCCCGGTACCAGCGACGCCTGCGTCGGTAGCGGCCACGGCTGGAGCCGACGTACAATTGGCAGTACCGGACATGATCACAATGATGGATCGCGGCAGGAAAAAGAAGACCAAGACAAGAGACGGCGAGGAACAAACAAAACAGAATGTCGATGTATGTCAAAAGAACAAAGAATAGAAACCACAATGTTTCAGGGTCTCTCTCTCTCTCTCTCTCGTGCGTGCGCGCGCGCAATAATAAAAGATCGGAAATCTGGTTTTTATTTCTACGACGACTTACACAAGACTGGCGAAACTGACCGAGGGCGCCACCTGCCCAGAATCGAAGAAGAAAAAAAGGTTAATAAAGGGACCCAAGACTAGGACCCTCCCCTTGCCCCCAACAATGACGCAGCGCCTGGTGAAACGCGCGCAAGGGAATCTCAGATCGACAGGCTAATCCATGTTGGGAAGACTCAGGGTCTTGGCAAGGGTTCTTCTTGTGGTTGGTTCGTTGACCTTTTTCGGATTCAAATAGATGATCTGCCCTCCCAAAGAAGAGAAAGAGGCTGTGCTGCCATCAATGCATCCTTTCGCTGGCTGGGAATGCTTGGGTTGTGCTGCTGTTGCCGCCCCCTCTAAAGATGCCAGCTAACCTGGTCATGCTGATGTGTCTCTCTTGTCTTTGAACCAGCCACATGCTCCCTCCCTCCTAGAGGATGCACCGCATTATTACTAAAGATGAGTCTCGGAACTGAGCTATCCTTTTACCTCGAAGAAAAGTGATGCATACAATTTCAACCTAGACACTTTTTCGACGCTACTACAATTGATCGTCATGAGATACACGAAAATGGCCTAGTATAAATCGGCAAGTCAAGCGTAAATAATGTATAGCGCCATTAGTCCTCCGCTAGCTTCAGGTACCGTCGGTAGTAGATGTATGCAAGAATAGCACTTGAGGTCACATTGATTAGTCTAACTAACAATGATTCACCCAGGTAACCTAGATGAACACCAAAAGTGACTGATTCACCGTCTCGTCCAGCATTCTTGACTTGATATTTTCGAAATGTTAAATATTGGGCAAGCGCACGTCTATGGGGTATATGTCTATCGTGTTCCAACAACGCCTAGCTCGGAAAATCATACCCAGCGAATAATCAAATCGACAACAAAGCTGTGCCTGGTATCAAGAAAAACGTTCTCCAGTTTCGGTCTTCCACATCCTGAATTGCCTGCCGAAACTGCCTCTCTCAACCTCATCGACCGGCTGCTTTCCCATATCCACCAGAGGTACCATCGATGGGCGTCCATGAGCACATTGAAATGGAAACGCGCATTCTGCCAACCGACCAAGTAGAGCCTTGCATTCATCCAAGGTCAGAATATCATTAAACATGATCGCGCTCCGGCATGCTCTCGAGTTAATCATGTCTAGAATACCTTGGGGGCAGCCGTGAAATCTTGATAGCCAATGTTGCTGCGTGCTGTCATGCTCGTCAACCAATGTCGACGCAATATGCTGCGGTAAATGACCATGGCCGCCACTGGTCTCGTTTAGCTTCCACAGCTCCTTCCTCAGTAGATCTATGAGGAGGCGGGGTTCTGTGCGGCATCTCTCAGCTATGCATGGGGGCAAGCTCGAAACCTTTACAAAGGACGGCAGCTTGCGGCTCTCAAATTGTGGACCTGATGGGAAAACGTTGAGGCTATAGGCAATACCCCAGTGCTTGAAATGAGCCAGATACTGCTCGAACAACGGGCGTTCGTGCGACGAGATTTCGTATTGGAGCATCTTGTCCAAGGTCTCAGTCTTTGCCCGGAAGCTAGCACTTTGAGGTCCATCAATGTCAAAATAGCTCGACATCAATTCCTCGACTTTGCATCGCTCATCAGCTGCATGTTGGTCGATTATGACCAACAGTGATGCGTCGTCCCCTTCAAGTGCTGCTCGTAGGTTTCTCTCCAGTAAAACTTTGACAAGGATAAACTTTTGATCGACTTGTGATATCACTTCGGCAGTCCGTATGGCTTTTCTTGATATTCGACTCTCGACTTTTGGCAAAATTTGGGCAAGCCCGTGATGGCACAAACCATCGCGCTCGGTATAACCACTAGCAGTTTCCGCAAGTGCGGATGCGTCAAATGCCACCGGGATAGGAGGCTCTGTGGCTTCAAAGACAGGGTTTTTCCACCTCGCAAGAAGATCCTCCACCCAGAGACTAGGCTCGCCTCGAGCAGGCGGAGATGGTGTCCTTAGACCTTTGGCTCTCTTTGTGAGTCGATTCGGTTGCCGGCTGAGCCCATGGTCCGCATCGCTCTCCGTCCGGGTGCCGGCAAAGCCTGTCCTAGCATCCACGATGCATTTCTGCTTTGTGGCAGGATCGAGCTGAGCAATAGTTTCTTCGTGTCTGCTTGCTTGACCAGATTCGACTGCGCTAGTCTGGGATCGAGCATGACTATAGTCAAACGCTTGCTCAAGATCCAGAAATGGTGGCCGGATGAGATTACCTTCAGTATTAAACAAAGCGGGCGACATAGCTGCCGATGAATCATTTTCAGATGATGGCCGAGGGCGAGACCTGCGCACTGTTGTGCCTTCAAAAACAGGCTCTTTACTGGACGTTGGCGTTTGAGAACCCCTGCTCACCCTCGACCATCTATTGAATTGTGACATGTCTGACCTTCCCCCGAGAAACCGAGCAGAAACCGCATCTCCAAGATCAGCGTCCGGAACAGATTGTGTCTTTGAAGCTGCGTCCATTTGTGAGACAGAATTGAATGATACTCCAGGTGAATCGTCCCTCGAGGATGATTCGCTTTCAGGTGCATTTGACTTGGAACGTCTGGGGGACCAGCGTCTCGTTGGCTTATAACTCAACGGATGAAAGTGATGCTTCTTCAGAAAAGCGTGCATCATTGCTTTGATGACATCAATGATAGTATGCAAGTGACTTTGACGATCATCGAGTATTTCATCCGCATCATGTCCGCCTTTGCAAGACACTAGATCACCAAGATCAACATGAACATAGAACATGGGATGCCTATCAATCCCTCTTTTACCCTTTACTTCACGATTGGTATATTCTCCAGTTCTGGAAAGGCGATCTTTGGCTCTGCGGACCTTTTCATCCTCATCGATACCGTCGGTGTCTTCCTCGACGCCAAAGCTTGAATTGGCAAACATTCGATTGATTTCTTCGTACAGAACATTTTGACCACGAATGTTGGCAAGTGGCTGAATGCCTATACTGATAAACTGCAAGCGTTTTGTGGCGACTGGTAATATGCATACTGCCCCAGTTATGGATAGCTGCGCAGCTGATGCTTTCAACGCGACCCATGCTGCTGGATCTGCATTATCGAAAAAATTAGCTTGGCAAAGCAAGCCAGAGACACGTGAGACAAGTAGCGAACGTCGAGCTCTCTCCGCTAGTTGAGTGATAATGGCTTCGGTGTTTCTCAAAACGGACGTTTGCTGACTAGTGCTCTCCCGAATAGAGACGCTGACCTGATCAGGCCAGGCAAGCAATATGGCAACGATCGATAGTTTCAGGTTCTCCCAGTCTCTCAGCGTAGTAGCCCGATCAAGTGCCAAAGCCCTCTGCTTGACTCTCACTGGCATGGAGCCAAAGAGATCACGCACCGTCACTCGGGTGCCATGGCTGAAGCTAAGCAGCCGTTGATCAGGAGGGGACGGCGTGTGGCGCGCGATGACCTTTGAGTTGTGAATCTTGACCGAATTATGAGAACGATGGCCTTCGTGGTGAGAGGCGACGGACATTAATGAAAGCGCAGCGACTGATGCCAGAAATGTGCCGCTGCTTCCATGATAAGAAGGGTGTGCTGGAAAGCGCGAAGTATCTGTGAGGATGTGAGCTTTCTATTTAGAAATATCTTGATGCCATTACCCACAATGTAATTTTCCAAGACCTCCACTCGCGGCGAATTCACTTGGGAGGATACCCGATCCATTGTCCTCTACAGAACAGTTTCCCCTTGAATAGTCTATAGAGATGGTGATTTTCGTCGCGGCGGCATCAAGAGAGTTTTCAACGAGCCCACACACCACACCATTTATGGAGGTTATGGTGGTTGAGGATTTGATCTGAGCAATGACATCTTCAGGTAGCGGTTTGATCGACATGGACGGTCCGGAGATGGAAAATCATTGTCTATATCAGTGTTTTCTGGCGTATAGTACTTTGTAGAAAACAAGCGTGTCCGAAATAGGCCAATGTTGAAATGTGATAGTGGATCGGCAGGTGGGAGGTAGTCGTTGTTTCAGGCGATGGACGGCAGATGCCGTTCAAGAAGTGCGCCCTTGGCGACCTGACAAATGAGTGTGACGCTCTGGGATGAATGCGACCAGTCAACAAGCAGTGATGGGAGGGAAAGCCAGAGTATGCAGACTGTCGTTACAATCGTCAATGGTAGTATGCGACAAGCTGTTATCGTCGACGAGGCGCGAATCCACAGCCGAGGCGAGCCAAGGCAAGCAAGGGCAAGGTTGATTATCAAAATCGAAAGTTCCCATCACGTGGGATTAAATTGTCCCCCAAAGGCAAAGATGGGGAATTTTGTCTGCGGTAAGTGCATGTGACGTCTTTGGTCTCCATAACAGCAGATATTGTCGGCGGTCGCTGGCCTGCAGGGGATCTCGGTGGCTTCGGCACCTGTGGGGGGTGCAAGCGCATCAGCTGTTTTAGTGGACAAGGTTAGGCTAGGATGAGCTGAAAAAATGGGGCGATCCTCTTTCTGGGGGCACTTCTCTTCAAAGGGCTCTTTGGGCTGGGCGACTCTGGTCCCGTTTTGGGCTGACATTCCAGTGGGCGGACCTGGACTTTACGTGCTGAATCTGGTCGCCGGAGCTATCGATTGATGAAGTCAAAGTGCTGCTGATTGATGGATGGCTTTCGTTTCGCTGGTTGAGAATAAACCATACATTTTGATTACCGACCGACCTGCCTGAACATTAATCATAACCTTGGTCTAGCCAAGGTGCATTGGGTTCGTATCCGACTGACAGACACCAAGCAGGCATTCAACGCCGCCGTCGATGAGGTCCTCGAACCTAGTGACTTCAGCTACTACTTCCCACAATCCTTTCGCGCACTGCATGCAATCCAGCAGATTGACAACCTTACGCTTGCGCTCTCGATTCCTTGACCGCAAACCGTGATCTGTTAACAGTGCCGCTCAAGCTGCATACACACGCGCACACGGTCATTACCTCTCTTGCCCTCTCACTCTTTCTTATCGCGACTTGTCATCATACCTACCTAGATCGTCAAGTGCCTAGGTGGCTGCAGACGCGGACATCGGACAGGAGAGATCACCACAGCTACCTACCTTCTCGTGCAGGAGGCAGCCTGATAACCGCTCTCGCCGACTACAATACGTACTCTTCTCCGGCTGCATCCCCCGTCACAAGCCGCAGTTCGCTCTTTGTTGTCATTGCGTGCGTGGTGCAGAGGCTCCGTACGCAAAAAACCCACTCAGGACTTTGCGTCCGCCTTTCTGATCGCCCGGTCCTTGTCACCGACTATCAAGCATAACCTAATATCGACAATCTGTCGCCGCTGCATTGACCCTACTACGTCTCACCAGTAGTATACAATCTTCCCAAAACAGCGAAACACATGGCCATGGCCGAGACAGTCCTTGCGAGCGGTAAGTAATCGTCGGAAACTTTTGCTTCCATCCTACTCGCACTTCCACTGCCAGACGCTGCCCACCCATTTACTGCTTCAGTCGTGCCAGTCATGGTTCTAACGCGACTTTTAGACCACCACGAGCGCTCTGGTCGCAGACGGCCGTTTTCTACTTGGGTCAAGAAGCTCGCAAACTTCAAAAACGGTTCCTCTTCTTCCGATTCCAACAAACACCAGCATCCTAAACGCGATCACGTTTCCAAGGAGTCCAAGAAGAAGCCGTCCAAGCAGAACAACCCATATCCACAGTCCGGGCGCATCGTGCCACCGCACCACCACAGCCAGCCATCGCTTTCTACCACGCACACTGGCGTCACAACCAATTTTTCAGATGGCCAGAGTCAGACATCACTCCAGTCCTCAGTCGATGGCGCCGCGCCTCCAACAGCTGGAGGCCTCTCTGTAGCCGGCACCGACAACGAAGCTTCGCAGTCTATTATGGCGCCGTCACAAATGACTGCTTCTATAGCAGGCACAAGCAGGACAGCCAACGGTAGAAAGGGAGGAGACAGTACTTTCTCGTCGCCGGCACCCTCGGTGCGATCACTTACTACCACTCTCACCACTATTCAGTCTGTGGGAGTGAATCAGAACGCAAACCAGCCTCAGCCATCTTCTCATCACCAGAACAGCAACTCGCAAAACATCCAATTCAGTCAGCCATTCCCGACAGCGTCGCCAGCGTCCGCCATACCTGCACATCTAGCTCCACATGGGGCCTCGGGGCATCCAACCACATATCAAATGGCTACTGCCAACAATCTACTGTCAGACAATGCTTCCATACTTACGTTGGCCTCCTCCAGCAAGCGGAGAAGACGAAGGTCATTTGACACTGATGCCTCGGTTCGAGCAATGGCTCCATCTTCACTATGGGGAGGTTCCCGCGAAAGCCTGCCCTTGAGTGTTCTCAGTGCCAACATAGATGGAGTTCCAACCACACCCGGATTGCACCAAACTACATCGAGAATGGCAGCGAACAACGAGCGCAATAGTATGTACTCGACCACGGGTATTGCAGCTGCCCTTCCAAGCGAGAGGAACAGCTTATACACAAAACAGAGCATCGCTGGCGACGGAGCCAGCGTGCGTAGTGGATTCCTTGGACACGGAAGAGCTGATAGTATCAACGGAAGTGTCGTCGGCGTCACTAGCCCTCTTGTAAGCCCTCGAGAGGTATCCGAGAAAGGCGCCGCTACAGAAAAGGACCCAACTGTCGGGTCAGCGAGTCAAGACAAAATTCAAGAGAAGGAGTAAACGACACGAAAACGCATTTACACTTTAGACTCTGGCACCATAAATCGAGTTACAAGGCGATGAATCTTTTTCAAGGCGTTTGGCCAAGACAGCGACTTTTGCTTGCAGGGCTTGTAAGTTATGAATATTGAGGATTGATGAGCAAAGAATGAGCCTATATGGGCAATTGGCATGTCTGGACCGGGAATTGAGCGATTGGAGCCATAAATATTTAATGATAAATTGATACCCGTTTTGTTCAATCTTTTGCCAGCCAAATCTAGCATTAATATGGAATTTAATGTCCTAGTAAGAGTGGTGAAGCCACTGCCACCCAGGTTATTCACGGACTATTACTTCTACATCATTGAATATCTGAGATATCTTTGAAATCTTCCTCTCTCCCAGACAGAAGTTGTCCAAGGAGGGGCATTCATTTATCAATATCGGGCAAAGACGATACACAGTCCCCTCGACTTGTGAGGGCCAAGCTGAGATGCCATCTCCACACACTTGGATGAGCTCAAGGCTTGAACAATGATGCTATGTGACTCTCATTATGGCCAGTCTTCTGGCGAACCATTGAGCCTTTTGACTTGAATGATTCATAATGCAACGATTTGCATACAGTGCTGAACTGGCAAGTAGTGCTCATAGAGGTACAGCCTTATACAATTTACTGAAAACACATACATAATGACATTTGGCTGGCAATCTGCGTACAGTGCCCCCCTTCAACACATAATGGGAACAGAGTTACTCAACTCAATAGTATGGCAGCGGATCCAGCTCAAGTCCTTCCACCGAGAGCTTGAAGGAATCGTTTCGCGAATAGCTGCCCCCAAGATCCAGATCCAGGCGTCCGCGTACGCAGTCCTCGAAATCCACGTCGGCGTAGATGATGCCCTTTTCGTCTTCCCACTGCGGACCGGCCAGGATGTCGCCAGAGGGTGAGATGATGCAGGAGCCGCCACGAGAGATGAACTCATCTTCGGCGCTGACGCCGTTGGGTTGGGCAGAGGCCTTGGTAGTCGCAGTGGTAGTGGCTGTGGAGATGCCGCTCGGGGCTGAAGCCTTCTTGGAGGATGGAATGCCGTTTTGCTGCTGCTGCTTTTGCTCCTGCAAAGCGCTACCTTCCTCCTCGATGACGGGGCCGCCGGCGCCGTCACGGCCGCAGAGGACAATCTCGTGACCGTCCTCATCAAAGACGGAGCGCCGCCTCTCGGTACGGGAGTGAGCCGCGCTGCCGCCTTCGGGGAGGGCAATCTCGAAGCCCTCCTCGGTGTAGCACGAGTTGCGGCGACCGCCGCCGCGCGGGTGGGACTCGGGGATGCCGTTGAGGTCTTCGACAACCGTGGCTGCCGCGTCGTCGCCGCCTGTAGCCGCGGCCGACGGCTCGGCGGTCCTGCGGACGCACATGTTGGAGCTCACGACAAAGCAGCGCCCCTCGAGGCCAATGGTGCGCATGGTTGAGAGCCAGCACTCACGGCCGTCGGCTGTAGGGCAGAGATATAGATTGATGTTTTGTGCATAGACTTTGAGGAAGCCGTTAGACTAAAACTCTTCATAATTTACAACACGGGTAGCGACGGTGGGGATCAGAGCATTGCATATGATGGACGAACTTACGTGCTTGCCTCAGGAGAGGCATGTAGTTTTCCCAGCATATCGCAGCGCCAATGTTGAGTCTGACTCCCTTGATTGTCGTGCTCACGGCCTTCAAGGTTGCGGGTGACCCTTGAGCCCACACAAGGCGCTCTGTGCCAGTCTAGAAGAACTTAGTATTCAGAAGAGAAACGAAAGAAGTGCTTATCGAAATATGTTTGATGCTTTCCTGGCATGACGCGACTAGCTCAACATTGGAATTTATACTGAAGAAATGTCCAAGTTTGATGAACTCATCAACATGCGAGTAGCAGCTCAAGGTTGGAAAATAACTTGCAAAAGGAAAATTGCTTCTTTCTTCCTCTCGACATGACGATGATCAGTTTGGCGTTATGGGTCACTTACAGGCTGAGTCTTTCTTCTCTTTCCAATGATTCCCAACTTTGGACAAACATAGACAGCTGAGCAGTACACTATGCCATGTATGATTAGAAACATTTCCGTATGAAACTTGTCATTCATTAGCTCAGAAATCAGTTGCTTACAGCTTCCTCCAGCCTTCTCAATCATTCCAGTGACGATAAAGACGCCAGTCTCTCTGGCAATGCGCTCGAGTTCCTCTCGCGTTCCATCGCCACGTTGACCCGCGACTTTGCCAGTCTCGCCGGCCAATTCGTCAGCGGGAAGCTGTCTCTTGACCCATGCGTCGCCGGCGCCGGCACCTCCGCCGACAGTGTCGCCAAGGTCCACGGCCGCCTTGAAGTACCGCAGATATTCCTCTCTGCCCTCGGCCGAGCGGGATCCGATCTTGCAGCCGAAATACGTGCCCCGAGGGTAGCCACCCAGATAGGCTTCCGGGAGCAGCAGGATGTCGGCCTTCTCGGCAGCGGCGCTGCGGGCGAGCTGGTGGAGCTGCGCAAGCGTCTCCTTGCGTGTCGCCTGGGTCCCTGGAGACGCCGTCGCCAATCTGATTGTCTGAGTTGCCATGATTGGATATTCCGTGTCTTTTTTTTTTATTGGCCTTTTCTCGCTATTTCCCGTACGCTTTTCAATTGATACTGAGAAAAAAAAGAAACGAGTCAAATGGCCATTGGTCACGTTTTATAGAGGTTATGTGAGGGGTTCACCAAACCCCGAAACCTTATGTATCATAGTAGGTGGATAACAGCTGAACATGAGGGGCCCCGTCTTCGGCCACTGTGATTTGGAGCTAATACCGAACCCATGAGGATATTATCACAAACCATTGTCATAACTATTGCGTCAAAACATGAGTCATCTAAGCGAAAAACAATCTATCTATCATTCGCCGAGAATACATCGTCAGTCCCATTTTTTGTCGCAAGGTCAGCACAGATGGCTTGATTGATGCTAATGATGATTCTAGTGTGTATTGAATTCGGTTCTAGCCGAAATCTCCATTCTTTACTCATTCAACATACGCAATCTCAGCTGGGGATCGAGCTTTGTGCTTCATGCTTTCTTTACTAGGTACTTAAAGGAATACCTCTGGCTATAGCACTTTCCCGAGGGATGAGAAATAGAATTGCGAAAAGTTGACATGGAAATTGAACAGTCAAAAAGGAAACAAAAAGGGGTAAAAAGAAACAGACATATGGCTGATCCAAACGGATAGAACTGATCAAATACGAGAGATGGCTAAAAACAATATAATAATTGATCTTGTACAACCAAAATTGAATAATTTCTAGTTGTCACAATACTGGAATATTCACAAGCTGAGTCACTAAAAGTGATTGAGGAATGAAGTACCTACTCTTGGGTAAAGGGTGTACGATTAGAAAAAATGTGTTCAAGTCCCAGCTAGGTTTTCCTATATCTCTCTAGTCAACTGATATTTACTGTATCATTGACACCTCAAGACTTCAGGTAAGGAGAAGTACATGTTTGTCATGCCGTTTGTTAAATCTCTATAGCATATTAAAACATCAGCTCCATCAAGTTGGCTATGTCAGCTTTGTCTACCCTTTTCGACGAAGGCTTCAGTTCATGTGGAAACCAGTCTTCGAGTCTGCCGCCCGGATGTCCTGGCGTGGCTGGTGATTTGTCCTTCTCTCTACCCGTGATCATGGCCCCGAGTGCCGTGCCTGATAGCCAAGCCCACACCATTCCATCGCCACAATATCCAGCGGCGATCCATTCGCCAGCGTCGACACCACTAGACTTTTTGACTTGACGTGGCCGTCGGCCAGTCAGCTTTGGGTCGAGTCTGCCTACAAAAGGAAGCAAGTCCCCTGTGAGAGCCACGACACCTGTCCAGTATTTCTTTATCCTGCCGCCCTCTTGATCGTCTCCCCACTGCGGGGAGAAGATGGTCGGAAAGATGTTTCCAATGTGATTTACAGTCAGGGCATCAATGGCCTCACTGCTGTCGTCATATCGTCCGATGACGCTCAAGCCCTGATCACGACTACGATCGAAACCTCCGCCGAGCATGATATCACCAGGTACACCATTTACTGTTGGGCGTTGCGTGATGTAATCAAAGGCCGACTTTGCATAAATCACCGACCAGGAGCGCGACCCGCCGTAGTCTGGAAACTGCTTGCCCGGACGCTGTGCCGACATGTGTGCCAACAGACTGCTAAGCTTACCGCGCAAACCAGGAACAAACTGACCTGCAAAGCCATTTGTAGCATGGACCACATGATTGCACTCGATGATCCCACGATCTGTCACAACTCTATAGGCTGTGTTTTCAGTATCCCCTACTTGAATATCCGTGACGGCCGTCCTGGTTTCGATGGATAAATTCTCACCGAATTGAGCTAATAGGTCTCGCCACACACTGGATACGAATCGATATGGCCACAGAGCGCCAGCAGTGTATGAGATGGCCCCCACAACGAATTTATTCACGTCGAATTTCTGCTCATGGTCAGCCATGATCACTGCTAACCTTGAGCTATACAAGAAGGAACATAAACTCACTTTTTGGGCAGAAGCTGCATCATAAGTCTCAATGTCCAGCTCTGGTATCCATTTCCTCAACTCTCGCACTTCTTCGAATACCTTGTCTCTGTCCTCGGGATCGAGGTATAGATCTACCGTTTCGACCTCACGGCACTCGGCCACATCCCATCCCTCGGACTGACACAGTTCCGTCAAGATCTTGACATGCGCCAACTGAAACCTCGTGACCGCCGCGGCACGTTCTGGGCCGAAATTTCCCTTGAGCCGAGCAAACAACTCGTGCGGAGACGACTTGATGTGTCCGCCGTTCCGACCGGTGGCGCCGGAGCAGAGGGTTCTGGCCTCGAGCACCACGACCCGGGGCTTCCCGCCCTTGGCCGCGCCGCTGCTCGCCTGGAGAACCGACCGCACGACAGCCGCGCCCGTGATACCGGAACCGACAATCACAATGTCGGCGCGTTCCGGCAGCCCGGGCGACTGCGTGTCTACTAGTTCCGGGTGCGGTGGGTCTTCGAGCCAGTAGGACGGGGACGGATTCGGGACAGGCAAGCCGGGCGGTTGCTGGACCCGTTCTAGAAGCTCTTCGATTTGCTTGTTGGCCATGAGCAGCGCCTTGATGGCCAGACTCAGCGTCTTGAGCTTTGATTGCACGACCCCCATTCTGTAATTGTTGCTGCGTTCTAGCTGCTGCTTATCTCACGCCGCCTTGGTGGCGGGAATCACGGGAGAACGGTGCTTAATTCTTTTTTCAACAAGGCCAGGGTTTACACTCGAACGAGATGATTATATCTTTACCCGTATATCCGGCTCTAACTCAATATCAAAATAATTGCGAATAGGGGTAGCTGTAGGTTCAATCAGATAGTTGTCAGCACGTTAATCATGGTACCAACAAATGACATGGACAATGCAGCCAGCCAGCTAACCACCCTAGCAGGACAATGTTTAGTACCGCGTGCGCCAACGCAGCTTGGCACTGTATAGCTCTAAATCATTCCAGAAAATTCGCGACTAGACGACGGCAGACCCATACGACAACGACATTTAAATCCCACGAGGAAGCAGTAACAATCCCTAGAGGTTCCTTATCAGTGACGGGCGTAACAAGCAGACGCGACTATAAAAACAGTGTGGCGTCATCTCAGTCTTACCTTTGACACTTCCCAAGAGATTACCAGATTGGGGGAGACAAGCACAGTGTCTCTTCACTCTTGCGACAAAATCATCCACAACATCACCTCAATGAAATCTTACCTGGCAGCCCGCAGTCTATTGAGAGCAGGTCCTATACGTCGCATCACACCATACACCTTGCGCAACAACACAACACACAGAGCCATGGCCTCTGCTCCTCCACACGACCAACCGGGGACGTCTGCACAAACCCCAAAGGTGGCAGCAGACAAGCAGCAGCAACAACAACAACAACAACAACATCAGCCCCTCCCACTGCCAGAGCCTCCAAAGGAAGGCGACACCATCAACTTGAACGTTGGCGGCGAGGGCGTGCGACTGGACCACATGGGCCCCCTCGTCGTGAATCAAGACGGGACCATGAGCCGCATCTCCAACTGGGCAGAGATGAGCGACATTGAGAGGGAAAATACGCTGCGCATCCTGGGAAAGCGGAATCAACAGCGTCTCAAGAAGTTGAGGGAGGAGAAGGAGGCGGCGGGCGAAAAGGCTGAGGATTCTCAGTGAGGTAGAGGCTGGGATGAGCTGAGCTGAGATATGCTAGTAGTTGGTTCAAGCTGGAAGAGCGGAGATGGGATGGCGCGTCTATACAGCCACGGTATTCATTTTTGGCACATGCCCTCTGACACGAGAAACAAAGACCGAGATGGGTTATGAACTGTCATGGGCCGGGCGACAGTAAACGTGTTTGAAGTGGAGGGTCATTCACATTTGCTCTGAAAGAGGACGTTTGAGTACAGGGTCCTTCTGCTCTCGACTCCAATACACTGTTTCTTAACACACCACATTTGTATGTCTACCTATATCTATTGTATGATGGAAAACTATAAATAAGCCAATTTCTTTTTCTCACTCTTTCTTATTTGTACTTCCTCTCCACTCCTTCCCGTGGTCCTGACGAGACCCAACTGACATTTATTCCAGAGCACTTGTCCCGTTTTGATCCTGGATCGACACAGGAGAAGGCAGATGATGGCATTCAATGGTATGCTTGGTATCGACCACAGCTCCTTGGGTAATGGGGCTAACCTCGGACAGGTCGCATTCAATTGCAGGCTGCGCATTGATCGATTGAAGCTCGACAACATGGTCAGCTTCTGCCATTTCATACTCGGTATCCTGCTTGATCTCGGTCAATTCCGTCTGGATCATAGGATGTATGTCAACCGATCCAGACTCAGCGGCAGTGATAACTTCTGCCATGTCGAACTCGACCGTAAGCTCTGCATCAGCCAACTCGCATTCAATCAGGCTCTCACAGGCCTTTGCGCCCTGCCAAATCTTGACAATGCGCAGGCCATTAGCCTCGAGCAGGCCCGTCCAATCGTCCTCGGTGCGCTCCCGGGACGAGAACAAGGTCAGCATGACCATGTCGAGGGCCGTCATTTCCCAGTGGGCATTACTCTTTGGGATGACATTTTCATTGATGAGCAGGCGGCTGTAGCCCGGCGCCATGGCCGCCTTGATGTTGCGCAGAATGGACCCGCACACATCGTCGGGCCAGTCGTGCAGCGTCGAGTGCATGAAATAGGCGCGGGCGCCCCGGACCGGCTGCGGCGTGTGGAAGTCGTGGCTCATGCGCACCACGGCGCCGTCGAGCTCCTTGATCTGCTCAATGACCTGCGGGAGGTCCTGGAGGATGAGCCGGCCCGGGTGCGAGGGGTGGTGCTCCTTGAAGGCGGCCAGGTCGTGGCCTACGCCGCCCCCAATGTCCACCATGAAGGGCGCGTCGGGTGCCGTGCTGGCCCCGTTGATCAGCCGCTCCTGCACCGGGTATACTGCCGGGTCCATCCAGCGGAGGCGGCCCTGTGCGTATGCTCGCATGTGGTTGTTGAAGCTCTCACCGTAGCCAATCGTCTGCAGCCACTGGAACATGTCCAAGTCCGTCTTGTACGCGCGCTGCATAGAGGTATTGTGGGAGTCGATGGGATTCTGAAAGTTGGTTTCAATGGCGAATTCATGGAATTGGTAAGCACCAGCGCTTGTGCCGGAGCACCTGCCGAAAACAAGTCAGAGATTTGTTTGATTTTTCATGGGAACAATAACACCTACATGGCAATATGACTGTCGCTTATGAGTTCATGAGCCATGGATTTTGTAAAGTTGGTTGTCTTGTACTCATTGGTACCGGTCTGCACCAAGTATTGCATCGAGGCGAGGTGACGCATCAGGCGTGCTATAATATCTACAGTGAATAAAGTTTCTGTGTTATTCTTGATATGGTTCTCACTTACCAAGAAGAACCGAATCCATCCCAGTAGCAACAGCCAGCTCCTTGACCGTCTGGGGTCTGTCCCCATTTTGAGCCATTGTGCGCCATAGACCCGAGACCGTACCCGTGTTCAACGCAGCAACAACGCCAGACTATGAAATATTAAGTTAGATGATGATTCGATATCAAGTCTCTGGAATTTTCTCAATGGTGGCCCATTACCTGTGCCCAGCAGTGCCTGATCATCGTCTCACGGGGAGTCTCAAGAGACATGACCAGCTTCCAGGCTGCCTGCAACATGTCAGACCGAGCATCGTCGCTGTCCGTAGCCAAAGACGGCAGCCCGGAGTTGAGGTATTTCAAGGTAGGAAGTACGGCTCCCAGATCGGCTGGATTCTTGACAATGGATATATCAACTGGCTCAGCCTGGCGAGCACCTTTGATGCCATTTGTAGCAATTGCCATGGTGGTCTTTGTCCGGACCCGAGAGAAAATTTGATACAAGAGTTTTGAGTATCATTTATTGTTGAAAAGCCCAAGAAGAAGGATGAAATGGTTCGCTTGATGAGAGGGAAAAGCACGAGAATTGATAGTCCTGACTGTCACTTATATGCTGGTCCCAGGAGACGGGTAGTTGCAGACTTAGACTGCAGCTTGCAGTAAGAAAAAGCAAAATCGGGCTCATACAAGTCAGCTCCCTCGAGTATCTGGCATCCCCAGTCACCCAAAATGATTCATTGGGCTTGTCCCTCATGCCATGTATACCCTTGTTTGCTAGGATATCCTTTCCAGACTCGAGGTTGCGAGGTATACTACTGGACGCCCTCGAGAACCGACACTGCGTCCGCAAGCATTGTCGCCGCCACTTTTGTAACCCTTGACTACGTCTTTGAAAAAATTGATCACTTATAGCATTGGTTAGCGACTATCATTGCCAATTGTCAACCAATTCACCCTGCATTCCAGCTTTTGCCAGTTCAGCAACGCAGTTGCAGCTCTTTGTGTCTGTCAGCTGTATTCAGCCTCGAGGTAATCCTGATTACCTAGTTAATTGTCTTCATCAACATTCACCTCGGCAGAAGTAATTGGCACAGTGGATTCCTCTCACCTCCCATGCAGAACTTGAATTAATTCGGAAAAATTGATCCATCTCGGCCGGGCCAAACTGTTCATGTTTGCTCAATACTCGCCCCTTGCCGAACATTATCGCCAGAGCATTTAGTGGCGTCCCCATAGCAAACGGGAATAATGCTACTCCTTTCACTTCTTGGTAAATAAGTCGCGCCCCCTTGTCTTGGCATGGAACAGGATAAGGCGTGAAGCCAAAATCACAAAGGTGCTGATTGATGGATATTGAGGCAAACAAACATTCAGCTTTGGCAGATCCGATGTTCTGGTTTACAAATCCCAACCCCGGTCTGCCCGTAATCGCCGGGGTATGTCCCAGCGTTCTGTAGAAACAAGACGCTGGGACGTGCTACCGATCGGGCCCAGAGTACCACATGGACTCTCTCCACACAATGAGACTTGGGACTTAATGCCATCCATGTAATGCGGGGCTATAAGAGACTACAAAATGGGAATCAGGGTGGTAACTATTGGAGTGACCGTACGCCGTGTCACTTACCGTTCGGCTATACTGCAAGGGGTCTCAGAGGCAAACATTTGACATTTTACTACCTTGTATCTTCCCAGGTCTCTGATTTGATCCCATTCGGATGGTGTACGACTGACTTGTCAATCCTTGTTGAGGAACCAGGATTTAATGTAGAGTACATTCATTGTCTTTGTCATCTCTCTCAGGTACACCGGTACTGCGCCTTCTAAGCATCGAAGCAAGGGAGAATAAACAGACTATTACATCTCAGGGTCCTCTACTCCCCGAATAGGTATTTTACATTTTGGGACAATGGTCTGTGTGATCTATCAGACTATTGTCCATTCTCTGGTTGAGAGTCCAGCCATTCAAGTAGATTGATTTTCAATGTTCAGGGTCAAGGGAACAGTGAACTCCATCATTTTATACTATACTACTGTCGACCGCATCTTTGTAGCATCTCAGAAGAATTCCCTCATAGGTCTTTGCATGCACTCAAGATATGTACCTGAAACAAGCGTCTTGTCGATATTTGCTATTCCAATACTGTCATACCCGTCATGGCCTGCTTCTATACTATGAGTTCCTTCAACTACGCCAATTTTTGCACTCATCTTAATTTTCCTTATTTTCAATCATATCTAGGGCTTTAAATGTTTGTACTTAAACAATCGTAATTTGTAAAAGGTCACAGAGCTTGGGGATCCCATAATTTGTTCTTGATACCATCTGTCCGCGACCAAGGTTCAAGGGCTAGGCTCCAGATGCGACTCCAAGGACATTGGAGTAGTCGGGGTCTAGATCGAGCTCACCCATTACTATTCAGGCTTCGGGCCTTGACCGTGCGGCCAAGTCCAGTCCTAGACGGACAAAGTCCCGAATATTCTAATGTTCAAATGGCTAAGCTCCCTTGCTTCATCACAAACCATTGTTACCATGGCTCTGCCTCGCAGATCTTTGCAGGAGTTCCCGCCGCTTCTTACGCATCCCAGAGTATCCCAGATTGTGTTTGCCAATTCGCCGCCTTTTCGAGGTCCTACCAGGGTCATCTTCGCCATCTACTGCCCACATTCGTGAGTCCCAGTGATAAAACACGGAGTATTTTCCATAACCATCTCTATTTTGATGAAAGTCCGGAATCGGCGGAGACGTTGTGTCATGATATCAGCCTCTTTGATTTCCTCATGAGTCGATAGTGATATGCAAGGAGTTCAAGAGAGAGAAAACAGACAAATCTCAGACTCTGTTCTCTCAAATCAGTCGGTTAAGCATGATATGCAGTTGATCCTATCCTCTTCCCGAGTCAGAGTCACAACCTGAGCGATAGACAAGTGACTTGATTACTCAAAAGAGGCTCAGGTTGTAGCAATGCTTGCCCACTATAATCTGACCACTTACTTGTCAAATTCGTGAAAATACGAAGAGCCGGTGAAATACCAGAAACATAACTTAGTCATTGATTGTGTAATGAAAATCTGGGCAAGCTCAATTAATCTATAGACAATGATTCGCTCATGTGAAACCCAAGAAAAGAGCATCTTATACATAGCAGCATAAGTAGTTTACGTCATCGAGACCATCATGTCCACGTAAACTAGCCGCAGGGATCGAAAGCAGCGCGCCTTTTCCTGTACCGTCCATGCAACCATTATTTGCAGCTTGCAAATCCATTGCCACAAAAGGTCAACCCAACGCCTTCCATCAGTTGACCGTGGGGTATATGCCATGTGCCAATGCCTCTGTCTATGTCAAGGAATCGTAGAGACCAATCCTGAAACGCCTTGCCAAAAATCATATTATCGTGTAATTCGTCATGTGATGCTCGCCCGGAAAGTGTACACCTGTATGATCCACTCAATCCTTATATTCCTCATCATCATCGTCGTCGGGAGGAGAATCGAGAAAATCGTTCTCCGTGTAGTGATGCTCCGTGATCTTTTGATTATCAATCTGAATGTCAACAACATCGCAAAGTCGTTGCTTGAACATCGGTGATGCTTGCGTAAATCCAGATCCACTTGCCGACAGCTCATCTTCACTTTCCTCATTGTCAGCGTGATAGCCCTTACTGGAAACTCGTAATCTCCTGCTTTCCTTCTTCATACGCCGCACTAACTTTTCCTCGCGCTGGCTAGGTGTACCAAAGCCATCCCCTGGTGTCGTTGGCGTTGGCGACGGTGGGCGATCTGCGATACGGGTGCTACGCCGAGCTGGAGTCACTGGACTGCCGTGTCTACCATTCATATTAACAGTTTGAATGGGAATAGTAAAAGTCCGGTGGGGTGTCTTCTTAGGCTCTGGTGATTCTCTTTGGAAGACCTTTTCTACCCTGGAGGCCCATGTTTGGCGAAACTTGGAGCGTTCGCTCCTCGACACATTAATCGAGGCCTTCAAAGCCAAATAACGCAGATCAGGCAATGCGGAAGCACTGTCTATCAAACTTTTTAGAAGTGTCGTAGCTGATTCCATTGCAGTGGAATCCTCGAAACGCATATACTGTAGGTTCAGGCACTGGAGTGTACGCGGCCATGTAGGGGGTAATTTTGAGCACAATAGTTCTTCGTAGTCCGGGCTGTTGTCCGGGTAGCTTTCAATGTAGCGGAAATAGCGGAGATCCATACTCAAACAAGTCAGACTGGGGCACGCATCTCGTAGTACATTGAGAAAGTCCAGGCTGAGGGCGCGACAATGATCCAGGGTGAGCTGCTGCATGTGATGACCATGGCTCAGAAGGAACTCTCTAAGAGCCTCAGCTGTGACGTCGTAGCAATCGTGAAGTTCAAGATGCCTCAAGGATTTGGGCAAGAGACCGAAAAGGTAACCATTAACGATGGTCGAAGACTTGAATGCCAGATGCTGAAGTTGTGGTAACAAGCAGACGGCCGACGCCAATTTTTGTATGTCTGGAAGATCCAAGGCTAGCGCTGCATCGTCGGAGACCTTTGTACCCAAGGAGGGCACCTGGTAGTTGAGAAAGGTAAGCTTGCGCAAAGTGGAAAAGCTTGGCCTTTGGTGTATAGAGGCCATATTGTCCAGTGAGCACAATTCGCCAGCCAATCGTGAACTCCACATCCAGCTTCTCAGTTCTGTGGGTGCCTTCTTGGCATAGGCGCCAGTTTCGCTCTCGTCGGGTACAAATTCGAGAGCCTCGAATAGTTCGGGGGTGTACTTCCAGCGCACGTTTGCCTCGAGGTCATCTCTCTTGTAGGCAAGGTCGAGGTGATGGTACAACTCAACGTCCATGAGCCGAGGCAAGAAGCGAATGAGTTCCCACAAATTGATGTATTGTCCTTGGACTCTCTTACCAAGTGTCTCTCCGACTTCGATTCGCAACGTCTCGATCTTGGAACGGTATTTCATTCGAAATACCGTTTGCTCGTGACTCATCCCTAGCGTCGCACTGATATGTTGCGCTGCGCCAAATGTCTGGAGGTGGACACATTTGTAACGGGCTCTGAGGGCAGGCTCAACCAGAATTTTCGACGCTCTGGTTGCATTGCACAACGTAAGGACAGCAGCACTGACAGCGTCTTGATGAGCTGCTAGATTACCAATCGGGGCAGCGACGAATTCGAAAATGTTGTCCCTGAATTACTCATTTTTATCAGCATGTTTTCTCGAGATAACGTAACATGATGCTAACAGAACATGAGAATTCCCTGACACTCGCGCCAAAAGAAAGGTTTCTGGTTGTGTATAGCAAGAAATGAGACTTGGGAATAATAGAGGTCAGTGTTTCCTATGCGCAAAACCTACCAGATCAATTCAGGCAGACTTTGCCAGTCGCCCTCAAGAACAAGTTTATCAGACCCGCCAGCACCATCTACATCCTTCTGTGATACTTTTTGGCGCGGTGAAGTCTGAGACTTTGGGCGGCCGCTACGGCGGGATGGTTCTGATTGATTTGATCCCTGCGTTCGGCGTGGCCGCTTGGCAGCAGCAGTGAGCAATTGTGACGACGTCTTGCGCTTTCGTCCACTGTGTGAGATGGAAAACTCGTCTGCTTGGTCGTCATCATCATCATCGTCGTCGTCGTCGTCGTCGGAGGTATCGCTAATCAAGACTCTTTCGGCAGACGACAGCTGTGCGTCAGCGGCTGAGGATCGAGTGATGCGGACGGGATCCTTGAGCTTGGCTGCCCGCCGGGGCATTTGGCGTGACGGCTGCGGTGGGCTCTCATCGCTGTAATCATCCGAGTCCATGGTCGATTGATGTTTCGCAGACGGTATTTGGGGATTGCTAGCCTGGCGTGGTCATGTTACGCTCGCTCTCACAGGAGGCGAGGACCAGTGAAATGATGGCGACGCGTCGGCATGAATGATGGAGCTGGCGAGCGCCAGCCGTTCTCAAAACGGAAGTAAGTTTGGGACAAAAGTAATGCCTGCTTGTATCGTGGTGATATGACAGACGACCCTTGCTGCATTGATGGCCGACTCGGCAGTATTCGTGTCGGCGCAAAAGAAGAAGCACTTGACAGATGCACAGGCACAAGCTCGGAAAGATCGATGGCGATGACGATGTGCACTCGAGCTTCGGCGCCCTTGCATTGGCGCTAAATTAGTTATCGATTTGGCGCAGACGCCCGATAAGAGCCTAGAGGGAATGTAGGTTAGGTGGGTCCGCCTCTTGACACCATGACATGGTATTGCTGCTGTTGAGCGAGACAATCCCATCATGCAATCCCCGAGAGTTTACTTGTGTAAATGATTTAACAGTAGAAATGTAATGCCAAGAGGTTCATCCATAGTTTTGGAGATTTCTAGCGACCATTGATCGCGCAGGAGAGACACAGCTTCCCTCCCCTCTACGCGACAAGAATGTTGGTTTCGACTCCTCTCAGTGGATAGCACTCAAATATACAGAAATCGGTCGAATGACAGAACCTTGAAGAGGCCAAGGATGATTTGAGCATCATGATTTGAATTTGTCGCCTCCAAGGACTGGCGGGCCGGTAGGTGGAAAGGACAGTAAGCTCTTTGGGTGCAGCGTGTTGACGAAGCGATTGATGAAAAAAGATCAATACAATGCCGAGCAATCATGACCCCAGACAACGGGTGACAATAAATATATGACTTGGGAAAATTGCATCCTCAGGCATTATTTTCGCGGCTGAGACAGAAACATGACACGGGAAGTAGTCAGACTTTGGAAGTACAATCAACCAAGATGAGGCGCCAATTATACTATAGAGACCAACCAAGCTCGCAGTGTGGATGGAGTTTCCTATCAAAGCTTTTGGGTCCAATCTCAGTAGATACATGTAGGAACAAAAAATACCAACGAAGAAACGCCCATCCTTCAGGACTGTGGGCTCAGCATGATTATGCCGATAGAATTGTACAAATACTCCAGTACCATTATGAGAAAAGAGAAAGAAAAAAGAAATTACTCATACACCAAGTGTCTTTTGAGCAGTTCTGGTAGATCATCAACCTAATATACACATGCTTGAAAAATACCAACAGTATTAATCGTCAGTGGATACATAAGTAAATATTTACGGTAGACCGAGATTCTTCAGCATCGGCTCTTTCTTGCGAAGAGTGGGGTACATTCTTTCCAAGGAGGACCACGCGACATGCAGTTTGTGAAGAGGATCGATCAATTCGCGACCAGCCAGGGTATTGGACACAGGTACACAGTATGTAGCCGCAGGCTGGCAGCACACACCACTAGTACGTACTGCCTTGGCGCTAGTGCATGTAGTGCAACGCTCCAGTCCGGACTCTACACTAAAATACGTACACGGAAGGCACGCGTCTGCTCTTGTTTGTCAACGGGCATCCGGTGGATGGATGCGCAATTGACTGGTTTCTGAACTTCTTGGAGCAGTCAGCATTGGATTTTCGCGCCCACGACGACAACGACAACTGCATTGCACCAGATGCACAGGGCCGATTCACATCGAGGACGTCGTACGATTACCCAATGTAGGTTTGCTCGGCGCGTGTTGGTTGCAGAGCTACACTAGGAGCATCTGTGTCTTTCGGTCGTGGTGCCTTTCCCTTTTCCTTCTCAAGCTCAAAGAGAGGAGGGAAAAAAAGGTTCAATCATCGTCCACCACAACGCCATCACTTCGGCCTTTGTATCCAATTCATTCCTGCCGGTCGCTTCTGGCACCTACCAGTTATTCAGAGTTCATGCTGCATCGCTTCATCTCACTCTCTTTTAATATGCTCGCCGATCATTCTTGAGCACACCGGGGATCGCATGAGTGGAACTCGTCTTCACAACTACAATCGCTCCAATCTCAAATTGCAACTTTGAGAGAGAATACATATTCTCAACATGACGACGCCACTCCCGTACAAGCACGGGTCGCCTTTCCTTCACAGAGTTTGGAGAAGCGCCGTGGATATGCTGGCCGCTGCACAAAAGTCTACTCCAGATGACGACAGGCCTCGTGCGGCTAAGCGCCGCCGTATCACTGAAGATTCAACAGATCCTGGCATCTTTGCCTCGGTCGGCCCTCTATTCAGTGATCCATCTCAAGGATATTCTAGAACACTTCGCTTCCAGGTTTTGAAAGTAGGCCATGTCAGCGATCCAGATCCGGGCGTCAATGGACTACTACACGGCAACGGCTCGCCAGTAAAGAAGAATGCATCCATCAGAGTCGTACAAGCGCGTTGCAGACTCACCATCTCCAGTGGCACTTCATCAGCCCCCTCACGACCAATCTATTGCGACAGCCAACCATGCGAGATCCGGGTTTCTTGCGATCGTGATGGGTTTTCGAGCCATGGCAGAGTACATCTACAGCAGCCCTTTGTTGTGGGTGCCGAAAAGCTCTATGTCATGCGCGACGATTCCCCACACTTCATGCTTGCAGACTCATATCTGATTACCACTGAGCTGGAGTCTGTTGGCGACCCAAATTGGCCCCCTTTCGATCTGTTGCCCAAGTCGTCTTGGCCACGCTCACAGCAATGGGCCTTATCATCTACGCATTCGTACGCTTACTCCAAGCCGCGTTTGAGCACGCCTGTGGTGCTGAGAAAGACCCATGGGGTTGAAGAGATCCGGACTGATCTGGTAATGGAAACGGATCTGCGATGGTCCGCAATGAACAGTGAGCAACCTAGCCCACAGATAGGAGATATATTAGCACCTCTAAAGACAGAGCATGTCAATGGGCGGACTGACAACTCGGTCAACAAAAATGACCATGACGACGACGACGACGCTGCTGCGGATGACGAAGATGGCGATGAAGAAGCCATCACTCCTAGCAGATCCCTGAGAATGAGAGACAAGCAGCAAGTTTACAACTTGAAGCTACTGAGCGACAAGGCCCGTGGCAGGGAAATGAAGGAGCGCAAGAAACGGAAGGATGCCAAGGTTAAGGGGATGAATGATGCCAAGCCAGGAATTTCAGGCCGTGTCACATGGACATTGCCTGATGGGAAACGTGCAATGCTCGATCACTGGCACTGCATCTATTGCTATGTGCCTCACGACAATATCGATCAGCTCCAAAGGCACATGGTTCAACACTCGGAATGGAAAATTGCAACCGACTTTTCTCAAAAAGACGGGTGGCATATCGTTATTTCTGAAGGCGAGCAGTTGACTCCACGGGCAGCCCGAAGAGCAGCTGCGCAAGCCCGCAAGCTTGAATCGCCGACAAATATCTCTCCGCCAGTGTCCTTGAGAAGTCGTCGGTCAGCACCGTCGGTAAGTCCACCAAATTCGCCGGTTCTCTGGAGTTGGGTATAATGACAGAAATCTGAAGAAGCATAGCACAGAAGCCATAACATCGGCAAAACAACAACTAGTTCCCAACACAATACAGCCAATGTACGACCGTCTCAGCAAGGCCGTCCTAGAGCCCCTCTCAAAGGTCGATGAACCTCCTATCGACAACGCGTGGCTTCTACAGAAACACAGAGACACAATCATGGAATACACTGATGTGGACCCCGACGAAAAGGAGTACATCGTAGAGTGGGATGCTTTTCTTTTCACGCGCAAAGGAACCGTCGTACCGTACTTGAAAAACATTTATCTGGAATTCATCCAAGAGAAGGCTTCCTGGTTGCTAGCATCGCAAGCTCGCATGCATGAAGCATTGAAGCATTTGGCTTACCTGAACGGACGCGATCTGCTGGACAAGAGTACGGCCAGTGAGGCTGTGGAAATTCTGAGGTCCACCAAACCAGAAGTGCAGGACAAATTGCCGCCAGCTCAAATCCCACGGACGGCATTACCGGCATATTCTAGTAAGGCAGGTTGCGGTATTTGCGGCCAAATAGTCCCAGCGACATCGAATCAGCTGATATGCGCAAATCTGGTCAGTTATTTTGCCTATTGATTATTCTCAGATACGCAGTTTGCTGACTCATGTACAGGATTGCGAAACTCCCTTTTACCATGATCATTGCATGGACTATCATGCCAAGCAAGAAGTATCTGACCCAAATTGGCATTGCAACAAGTGCTGTTGAGGCTTCCGCGGCTTGCCACGGATGCCCGCTGAATGTTGGAAAATTGCGATTCAAAGTTCAATCTAGTCTAGCAGACGCATGGAATGACCGTTGCTATGTCGAAGCCGAGTTGTTTCGCATTTCAGCAGACCACCTTAAAGGCCACGGCTACGTGCAACGCAATCTAGGAAATGCAGCAGATTGAGTCTGGCAACTTCCCATGTAGCTAGATAATAATAGCAAGAGAAACTGATGATAAAGACTGAAATCCCCTGAGAGTACTAAATTGAGCATTATATGATCCGAGGTCTTACAGAAACATGACATGGTCCAGTCTGGTAAATAGAGGACCAATGAGAGAAATTAATTGGCGGCGATGGATGAGCTAAGTGGCCGAGGATGGCCCAGCGAACTTGGCCATGTGTCATACATGAGCGCATTTGTCTTTTGCATCTCTACTTATCAGCATATTTAGTTTGTCATTGGCCGCGTGGTTGGAATAACGCCCAGATGCCACAATGTGAGTAGCTTACTACCTACATCACGGTTGACAAGAGGAGGAGATGGTTCATATCATTTATTAAATCTGATCGAATTGAGCAGTCCAAGATGTGTTCATGTCTGTCGAAATTTGACTACGTACGGAAGACTTGGGAGCTTCTATTTCAAGGTACTCTGTGTCAGCCATGACACGAGCGATAAATACACCATGAAGATGTGGTTCACGCAACGATTACACGAATATTGCAAAACATATTGACGCGACGACGCGACTGCAATCCACTCATCGTTGTTGATTGCGAGTAAAGTCACATTGCGAGTGAGCACCATGCAACACAGTACATCTTGAAATACAGGCCAGAATTGAATAGATTGACCTCGGCAAAGATTCGTCACTTTTCATCAAATAAAGGTAGCGTAGAAGTACCGCCCAAAGTGACAAAACAAGAGGCTGAATAATGCTCACAGTTGATCTCGGACAGCGACCGCGAAATAGCTTAATCATGAGACGACTCTAAGTAGTTTTGTCGTTGCTATCTTGGTCTATCATACAATTTGGTATTTACACTGATATACAAGCGGGACCTTTTTTGACCACTTCTTCACTACTTGTCGGCACTCCTAACTCTAGCCTCGTGGGAATCTGTAGACTCGGGGACCACCTCGAATCCCATGCCCCGGCGCTTGCGCCTCGTCTTCTTTTCTCCGTAGCGCTCGTCGAACTTTTTAATGGCGCTGAGCGTCGCCATGTCTTCGCTGACGCTGGCCGGGATCTCGGCGAGAGCCTTTTCAAAGTGGCGGTTGTTGAGTACACGCTTTTCCGGCCAGACATAGGGGTCCGGGCCGCTGTGCTTTTCCGATGCCTCGAGCTCCTCCTTGACGGCGGCCATGGCGGCGGCTACACAGACGTTCTTGAGATCGGAACCAGAGTACAGCGGGGTGCGCTTGGCAATCTGCTCAATGGAGACGGTATCGTCAAGCTTCTCCATCTTGAGGTGGATTTTCAAAATGGCCGCGCGGTCTCCCTCGAGGGGAAGATCCACCAGCAGTTTTCTCGGGAGACGCCGCAGCACGGCTTCGTCGAGGTCAAACGGGCGGTTCGTGGCCACCATGATGAAGGCCTTTGACGCTTCCATGCCGTCCCACTCGCGCAGGAACTGGTTGATGACGTCTCTCCGTCCAGCCGCGTCATTGCGACCTCCGCGGGCGCCCAACAAGGCGTCTGCTTCGTCAATAAAGATGACTAGAGGTTCCTTCTTCTTGGCCATGCTAAAGAGTGCCCTGATATTCTTCTCACTCTCACCCACGTACATTTGATTGATGCTCGCGCCAGAAACTTCAATCATGTTGGCACCGCTTTCCTTGGCCACAGCCTTTGCAAGAAGAGTCTTGCCCGTGCCAGGCGGACCATAGAGCAGACAGCCAGGAATCCTGTCTGTAGCCAGAACACCATAGGCAAATGCTTCCGGTCGCAGAAGCGACAATTGCGTGAGCATCTTGATGGAATCAATAGTCTCGGCTGGGGCATGTATATCGTTGAAAGTAGTTCGCAGATTCTTGGGATCCACTATGGCCGACATGAACCTCTTTTCGTAATCTGTTGCAGACCGACCGGGATCGTTCATGGTGTTGCTCTTGGTTTCCAGTTCAGCCTTCTCTGGCGCATCATGGTGGCTCTGAGCGTCGTCAATGTGCTTAACGAGCCGCATCGCATCCTCGAAGACGGTTTGCATGGATTGATCAGGGTGAGTCGTCCGAAGCCCATGCATAATCTTTACAATGCGGTAAACTTCAGATACAGGTAGGAGCTTTTTGGAGAGGAATGAAGGGTAATGATCCGGATTCATGCCCTTGAGTTCGAACTCGGGCGTGAAGAGATGCTCCGAGTCAACATCTGAAACCAGGTTCTGCATCATCAAGTAAATATTCCTGCTGTTCTCGGTAAGGTGTTCCCTTCGCGTGACCCCTTTGAGTGCAGTATTGATATCGTCTGATATAGAGTGATGACTTATGGCTGCAGCGGTAGCGTTCATTTCCGATTCTGGGGCTTCAGTTGATGGCGGACGGAAATCAATCACCCTCTCCGTCGTGCGCAGCTCCTTCATGGCTGACTTGTAGGCCGAGGGAACACCAGAGCTGGAGCAAGTGCCAACAATGACCACCTTTCTTCCTGCTGCCCACAAGTCATCCACAATCGTCCGCAGCTTGCCCATGACAACTGAGCCACACTCGTCGTCCATGTTCAATGCGTTGAAATCGTGTACATGAATAACCAGAGGACGTTGCTGAGCAGCCTCGGCGCCACCAGGAAGGTGAGTATCAGCAGCAAGGACAAACTGTTCCAAGACAGCATTAACCTTGAGGTCGTTCCACTTCTCATCTGTTTTGCTGGCCCGGTTGGGCTCACCGAGGAAGTAATCCATGATGTTCTTCTTGCCTTCCTTCTTTGGTTTCTCCGCGTGCATAACAATGGAGAAGGGGATATCAGTGCGAGACTCATCATCGGACTGCTCAGCCTTTCGGTGTTGTACCCTGCCGGCATTCTCTGCTGCTTTGTATCCAAGCAACGAAAGAGGTCCCGGTGCCAAAATTGGATCTTGACCGAGGTACTTGCCTGCAACATAAGCCAGATCTGGAGCATGAATAGTAACCATGTTGGCATCCAATTCCATGGCAATATCTCGCATCATCATCCGGGGCCATGAGTAGCCAGAATAGTACTCAAAGTTGAGAACGGTGATAGGTCGCTTGATGTCAGCAGCCCGGATATGCTTGGGCGGAACCATGTTCAGGTCCGCTCGGATAGAGGCAGTGGCCTCACAGAGTGTTTCGTAGTGAGCGATACCCAGAGATGGCCGCTGTGGCAGTTTGGAAACGAGAACATTTCTGAGCAGCCATTTCTCATCCGGGGATGCCAGGTTATAGGGCTTCACCCTTTGTGCATGATACTGTGCTACTTCATATGCCTTGGCCTTTTCTGCTGGATCTTGACTCTCAATCAAGTCTATGAACCCTCTCGATGGAACTTCGAGATGATGGCTGTCCACTGCCGTTTGTAACTCTAGCTCTGCCATTGAGAGTAGTGCAGAATTGCAAGCTGCAACAAGCATTACAGATCCTCGCAAGGATACAAATTCTATCTCTTCAGCCAACCAATCTGGGTCAGCATGGCTGTCAATTTTCGATCTCGAATTATTTTTAAGATTTTCCACCTCATCCGAGGTCCAAGCAGTAAGCTCAAACATGTCGGTCCAGACGCTGTCGAGCTCCCGCAAATTTGCATCAGGGATGTGGCCCTTCGAAGCTTTGTTGTAGATTAGTCTAAGGTCTAAGGCGTCTTCGTCAAGGGTCGTTTCGTTCATAATAGACCCGGTCTTCGGGCTTGTCTGCGCTGCATACATGCCGGCCAGCCTCTCGAGATCCTCCTTGTCAAGATCTTTTGTAGGTAGGACCTTGGTGGACAGAAGCGGTCGGTAATGTTTCCCCGGGAAACGCCACGTTTGCTTCGACCAAGCTTGATTCGATTTCTTTCCTACAACTCGCAACTTGGCAAAGTCTTTAGGTAGATGTACTGGTGGCAACTCCTCTGGCACCTTCAATCTCGTGGTGCGAGACTTTGGACCACCGTTGGTACGTCTTGCGCGACCGCGGGCGTCGCCATTGCTCATGCCCTTGTCGCCAGAGAGATCCTCCTCTTCCTTGCCGCTCTCCTGGCTCGTCGTGCCATTATTGCCACTGCTTCCATCGCCGTTCTTGGGATTGTCGCTGCCATTGGGCGACTCATCGTTCGGGCTCGGACTGGGGCTTGGGTCGCTGGCGCCGCCGGCCGCCTCTTGAACGGGCGCTGAGGAGTGGAAACAGGAGCCGGCCGCCGGTCGCGTCGGCAAGCGGGCAGCTGTGGGAGGACGGAGAGCCGCTGAGCGAGACGCGCGCGCCCATTGTGCATACATTCGAAAGGAATTGATGCTCAATATGAGCTTGCGAACGCATGACTGTTGCCTGTCAAGCCTGTGGTCAGCAGGCGAAAATGTTCTTGATAGGCGATTCATAAATTCTGGGGCTCCTCTAAGCTGTTCTGGTCCGTGCGCAAACCAATCCATCGAGTATTATATACCTATCCGACGATGCATACATAGACTGTTGGAACAAGACATCTTTTTGATTTTTTGGATTAATTAGAAAATGTTACTTTGAGGTGGTCATGAATATTTGTATTTCAATACTTGTTCATGTACATGTAAATATGCTCATCGCTTGCTTCATACAGAGGTACCGCTCTGTACGCAGTCATGTAGTCACATTCCCCGTGTAGGCCTTGTATAATGTAACGAAGTACCATAAAGAACACGAATAGCACAGCCAAATGCCTGATCTGGGAACTTTTGGGGACTCGATATTAGTGATAGTCACAGAATGCATATGATGCACACGGGTTCCTATAATTTAGAGCACAGACATGAATTGCTAGAGCTGCAGTAGGGGTATATGAAAATTCTCAAGAAAAAAACCAAGCAACCAATGCCTTCCAACAGGCTCAAACACAAACAAGAGTCGCTACGCTGATGATGATATCGCTAATGCAATGCCTTATCCTCCTCTGTCAAAATACTATACCATCGGTAGAAATAATGTGACCTGTTCAATATCGCTCTGCCGTGAGCTTCTGCAAAACCCAAGTCGGCCATGCGTTGATCGTCCCAGATGGCAAAACCATACTTGCGATAAGGGTCAAAAGGTAATCCCGGTATTGGCCCTCCCTGCCCATCGCGAGACATCAATCTTTGGAATATATAGGACAGTGGTGGTCTGTCCAGGTGACTGAGTCCTTGCTGATAGTGATCGCACCTTGCTGCAGACCGGACCGGACCCTTGCAGACGATATTGGCTTGCAGTACCGTGGCAGACGCAGCAGCGGGAATACTATAATTGCTCATGGTTTGCCGCTGTTCTGGAGTGTGGTGCAAAAAGTCATAGACGGTAAATAGTTGTTGTAACTCGAAATCCCTAATGGTAAAGAATTCCGCAATGTCCACCAGAGGATACTGGTCTTCCCGTGGCCATTCCAGCCGGTGGTGTAGCTGAGCATTGTTGAGTTCGAAGAATAATTGTATTCGCCAAAGTTGCTTTATGATACGTTGTTCCTCGACCCAAGATGGGGGTCCGGTTTTCAGTGGATGGTACTCGCACTTCTTTGCCCTGTCGAACCTTTGTCGGAGACAATCTGCCTTGAGATCCAGCTGCAAGGAAGACCACGGACGCACAGTCAAGGATTGCTCAATGTAATATTCAGCAGTTGCATGGCTAATGGTATGCAAATGGTGCGCCAGTGAGAGGAAACGACGAGGTATACTGCGGTCCTCGACCTCATCCCTTCTCAGTGGGTCCGAGTCGATTGCCGTAATGGACTGTGCTGCCTCCAAACCGGGACCGCAAGCTGCGCGAGTCCGTATCACTGCGCGCATAAGAGCCTGGGTCTGTTCTGGTATCGAGTTTGCAATCACTTTCTCCACGGTCTCGAGTGCATATTCGTCAAAAACGGCAGCAACATCGCGAGATGCCAATGTGAGATGCCATAACGACGAGAGATCACAATGCTGCAATATGCTCAGACATAACTCCACCGGCAGCTGGCCGAAAAAGCTCATTGGGTCGATTTGATGACAGTGTCAACTCGACTGTCGCCAGTGCTGGACGTCAAAAGACGTGTCGTGTAAAGGCTGACCTGGTGGTGAAAACGAGAGATTTTGCTAAGCGACGGACCTGTCGCAGAAGGAAGCAACAGATAGCAGCAGGTCGGCTGGTATTTAGGTAAGGGGTCCTCGTCTCGAGGTGGATGCGGGGAGTAAATCGACAGGTCAGCACAGCACAGCACAGCACAGCGCAGCGCAGCGCAGCAGCACCTTTTTGAATTGCGCCGTTACCAGAAAAGCATATTTATTAGTCCCCCCCCCCCCGGCTGTCGCTGCATATGTCAGGTCCATAGCAAATAAGCACCTACCTAAATTGCTCAAACCCAAGATACGCAACAGCACATGTTTTTGACTGGCCTAAAATAAACATGAGTTGATAAAAAAAGAAAAGGAGGATGACATCGTGGCGAAGCCCCGACTCAAATTAGAGTCAATTGTTAGTTTAGTCGGCGAAACAAATCGCGACTCCACCAAGACCATGTACGCGCGTTTAAAACGCAATCGCACTGCACTACAAGCAAAGCTCGAAAATTACAATGGTGAGCTTTGATTATCAAATGCGAGGCTTTTGAAATACTAAAGAGGCTGAAACTTGATGGTCTGTTCTTGTGTGATTCGCCCAAGGCATTTTGCACCAGAATTGACGGCCATGTAGAAATACATTATACTTAGTCGCTGCCCACCCCAGGTTTCAACTTCAACTTCTCAGGCAATGGCTGAACCTATTATAATTCTGTTTGACCCGTACATGACTAGAATCATCGACTGTCGAATCAACATAGAAAGTAATATTGGAAAAAGGCATGTCTTAGATATTTGCTCATCGATAAATTTCCATAAAAGAGAGATGATTATTTCTCCGAGAAAAACTCCCGACATCCTGTTACTGGATCTGGCAAGAAAGACGGTCTGGTATGTGGCATGAGCTATGAATACAATGACTAGTTTTGAATTCATAATCAAAGAGCGCAGGTGTTCTTTCAGCTCTACATTCGCGCTCAATTATGGAAGACTTAATTACATAACTTACTGACATCAAGACAAAGAGGAGTCTCCCCCCCTCTTTGTGCTCCGTCAGAATCTGGTGCGATATGCAAATTATGAATTCATCGACTTGGGTGGGCATTACGACGGTTTGTATGTATACCTACTGCAAAGGGAAGGACCAAATAAACTTGGGGTTTGCAAGAGAGGTGCTCACATAAACCACATATCGAATAATGTGCGTCTGTGATATAGCTTCAATGTCCAAGACCAGAGGATAGATCATATAAGGGATATACCACGACTAATCGCGCATAGCTCTCGTCCATTTCTGGTTCCTGATGGGAGCAGGCGCGCAGCTCAAATCAAGAAAACGGGAAACAGGCATTAAGTTCATATGTCTGCACTTATAGTCTTCTCGATATCAAGAATCGACTTCCTCGTACAGAGATCTAGAGCAGCGGCGTTTCCAACTACGGAAGCAAGGCGAGAGTCTTGACATAAGATGTGAATTCTTCGAAACAATTGTATTCATCCAAGCACTTTGCGATGACAAAATCAGGACCATATGGGTGGGCTCATGGTATACAGCTTACAAAAGGAATCGATTGAGTTAAAGCCGCTCCTCAACCGGACTGGCTCTCCTTTTCTAGATATACACAAAGGCCACCAAACCTTTTCATCCCCAATAGCCACTCTCTATGTCAATAGCTTGGACCTATATAATCCTTTATTGCTTCTCGAGCTCAGCCAGAATCTTCTCACCCTTCTCCTTGGCGGATGCCAAGTCACCAACCATGTAGAAAGCACCCTCGGGAAGGTTGTCACCCTCACCAGCCAGGATGGCCTTGAAGGAGTTGATGGTCTCCTTCAGGTCGACCAGCTTACCCTCGATACCAGTGAAAACCTGGGCAACGGTGAAAGGCTGCGACAGGAAACGCTGGATCTTACGGGCACGCTCGACAGTAAGCTTGTCAGCCTCAGACAACTCGTCCATACCCAGAATGGCAATGATATCCTGGAGAGACTTGTACTCCTGGAGGATCTGCTGGACACGGGTGGCGGTGTCGTAGTGCTCCTGACCAACGATACGGGGGTCGAGCATACGGGACTTGGAGTCGAGAGGGTCGACAGCGGGGTAGATACCCAACTCGGAGATACCACGGGACAAGACAGTGGTGGCGTCCAAGTGAGCGAAGGTGGTAGCGGGGGCAGGATCAGTCAAATCGTCAGCAGGGACGTAGACGGCCTGGACGGAGGTAATGGAACCCTTCTTGGTGGTGGTGATACGCTCCTGCATACCACCCATATCAATGGCGAGGGTGGGCTGGTAACCGACGGCAGAGGGGATACGACCCAGCAGGGCAGACACCTCGGAACCGGCCTGGGTGAAACGGAAAATGTTGTCAATGAAGAGCAGCACTAGAATTCGTTAGTCAGATCAAATCCATTTGCCATAAAATGCAAGAATATGCCTCTTACCATCCTGTCCCTCGGCGTCACGGAAGTACTCAGCAATAGTCAAACCAGTAAGAGCGACACGGGCACGGGCTCCTGGGGGCTCGTTCATCTGACCGAAGACCAGGGCGACCTTGGACTCGCCATCAAGCTGAATGACGGAGGTCTCCTGCATTTCGTGGTACAAATCGTTACCCTCACGGGTACGCTCACCGACACCGGTGAAGACGGAGTAACCACCGTGGGCCTTGGCGATGTTGTTGATAAGCTCCTGAATGAACACAGTCTTTCCGACACCGGCACCACCGAACAGACCAATCTTTCCACCACGAGCGTAGGGGGCGAGAAGGTCGACGACCTTGATACCAGTAACGAGAATCTCAGCAGTGGTCGATTGCTCGACGAACTCCGGGGGGTCGGCGTGGATGGGCAGGAACTTGTCGGTCTTGACGGGACCACGCTCGTCGATCGGGTCACCGGTGACGTTCAGGATACGTCCCAGGGTGGCAGGTCCGACGGGAATTGTGATGGGAGCGCCAGTGTCGGCAGCCTTCTGTCCTCGGGTAAGACCCTCGGTACCTAGTCCAAGTTTAGCGTCGCGGTCAAATTTTTGCAGGTTAAGGGATATGTACCGTCCATGGCAATGCAACGGACGACATTTTCACCCAAGTGTTGCTGGTGACAAGTTAGTACAGATGTTTTATGATTGTCGCCATGTTATTGTAATGGACTCACCGAAACCTCGAGCACCAGCTTCTGGCCGTTGTTGGTGGTCTCAAGGGCGTTCAGGATAGGAGGCAGCTTCTCGCCGTCGAACTTGACTATCAAGGTGTCAATGAGTTGTTCCCGTCCGAGATGTGCAGCTCGAGTGAGTTGCAGAAAATTTTGTACTAACCATCAACGACGGCACCGATAACCTGTAACATCGATCACGTCAGTCCCAGTTGCTCGTGCAAAACAATCCGAGCTTTTACTCGGTTTAGCCAACTCACCTGGTGAACCTTTCCATCGCCGACGCTGGTTGTGCTGGCGAACCGGCTGCTGATGGGGAATCTGAAGGCGGAGGGTCTGGCGACACGGCGCGAGCCCGCGACGAAGGGGGAGCGGGCCGCAGCTCTCGAGAAGGAGGAAATGCCGCTATTCGGAGAGAACAGGTTCACGTCAGCTTAATGAACCCCAATTGGCGTCGAAGTCATCCAAAAAGTCAATAGCGCGGTTTCTACGTACCTCTTGAACATCTTGAGAGATGACAAGCAGCAATTGACGATGGGGTGGTAGGTGGTGATGGAGTATGGGGAGAGGAAAATTGAAGAGATGAGGTCCACGACAAAAACCTCAAGCTGGGTCTGTCGAGCCTTTCTTGCCGAGAAGCTCCGTGTTGGCCCAAGCGTACGTCACGTGATAGGCGAAATTGGCATCGGGTAAACATGGATTGTGGAGACGTTCGCGCTAGCTCTAGCTGCAATTCAGTTCTTCACTGGCTTTTTCTCAGGAGCTACAATGGATATGGATCCACGACCTGGGCGATTTACGGAACATTTCATGGTTGAGCTGCATTACGTAGGTCGGTCGGTGCTTGTAGCTCAAGGGTGACAGATACTAGGTATACTGCTCAAGGTAAACTGCATCTTCATCTTGCGGCAATAACGAGAATAGTTATTCAAGCTTGACAATAACTCATTGTCCGAGCAGGCACTGGCACACTGCCCCTTTCTGAGACTTTTTTTTTTTTTTTTCTAACCTGGGATACTTTCCTAGTTGTTATTTTTGTAGCAACGTGAAGTGCCGATTTTAGAGCCACTCAAGGCGGGATTTATTGCCCCAGTTTTTAAACAACTCATTCATGAATATGCCTCTGTGCATTCTTTTCCAGATACAATGTATGCAAAATGTTACCCATTGTTCGCCATGGAAACTTATACATAGAATGATATCTGGCAGGCGGAAATGAACCCAACACGAATAAACTCCAGCCCGCTTTATATGCCTTGGTAACCAGTGACGGCCCCTTTCATGAGAATTCCGCAAGTCTATATTGTATGTAGTCAACCACCCTCGACTCATTAGCCGCTTTCAATCCCATAATAATCATCCCATCTGTATATATCATGCAAACATTACCATACGCCGACTTTACCCAGTCCGCTATTGAACATGTTGAGGCTGCTGGAGCCGATCCTGATATCTCCAGGTATCTTCCTGCCTGGTGCCCGGAGCGAGCCATGTAGCATTACTGTTACCTCGCTGCCGCGCGCCACGAGTGTCGTCGCTCTTCTTAGAATCGTCGCTTCCCCCATTGGCAAGCGCTGTACTTCCGTTTGTGTACACGTACGGGCTAGGCGCTGCCGAAGCGACCGCAGGACTTTCGAAAACCAGTGCATTCGGACCAATCAGTGGGCCTTGCGTGTTGAGTGGCAGCAGTGGCCGGTCTACATTGCTTTGACTGAGCATACGGGCGCGTTTATCTGCCTTATTGCTCTCACTAGAGCGGTCGTACAGGTAGAGGCCAACAAAAGTCAGACCAATGCCCACGGCTTGGATTCTGGTAGTCTTGTTCTGGAACCAGATAATAGCAGCCACAATGACGAATACCCGCTTCAGCAAAGACGCTACTGAGTAGGTGACTGGTGAGACTAATGATAGGAGAACAAATGCCAAGATGTTCTGTCCAAAGTGGAAAGTACCGTTGAAGAGAAATTCCAGGAACAACCGGCCGTGGTCCATGCTGTTGGCTTTGCCACTCAAATCAAGCGAGCCATCTGTCAGGAAGTCCTTGAGCAGATAAATGCCCTCGCTCCAGAACCATATGGGTGAGGTAAGAACAAAGGCCATGCCAGAGGAATAGCACAAAAGGTTGAGCTTGTCAAGTTTTTGAGACTTGGCCGCATGTCCCTCTGCTTCAGCCTTCGCAGCCTCATTGAACAACCGTTTTGACACAATGTTTTGCGTCACAAACAGTATCGTAGCAAGAAATGCGTATATCAGACCTAGCATTTCACCTCCAAACGTATGGTTACCCGAACAAGCCAGCATAACTCCCATGGTTAGAGGTATAAGGGAGTAATACGTTGCTCTTGGATACTTGATGTTGAAAACCAGTCGATAGGCGAGGACGGTGAAGAGAGGCGACAGACCCTTGACCGTATGTACCAGAGATACAGGTATCTTGGAGGTGGCTGATGCACTCAAAAGGTGACCGCCAATCTGAAAGGCAGCCAGAGGCAATGTCGTATTGATGACATCTCTCGAGGGTTGTCGAATGGGGTTCTTGAGGGCCGGTATCGAAGTCCGGAGTTTCGGGAATACAGAGGCCAACCAAGACGAAGTAATGCAGTAGAATGCAACGAGGAAGAACTGGATCATGGTCAAGGTTGCAGGCTTGTCAAAGGCGTTCAGGATGGATTTGGACGAGGTGTTGGTCAAGGCCGAGGACATATACCACATGACGCAGAGCCCCTACAAGATCGCCAATTGTCAGTATAGTCGGCTAGAGGTGTTTCGATAACGGGACAACGTACAATAAGCTGCCATGACAGCGGCGCCTTTAGAGCATCGGCTATTTCGTGCGCATTTTGACTGACGCTGCCGTTTCTCCCCCTAATTGTCCGGAAAGCTTCACTGATGCTCTTCTGCTTTGAATGTCCGTGTCCATGCCGCGAAGGGCCGTTGGTTCCCATCTGGCCCCATCTTACATTTCTCGCCTGGAGGCTCTCCCGCCGCGGCTGCCACCTCTCCACTGCCGGCGCATTGGCTCCGTTTCTGCCGTTGGCATAGCCCAGGGAGGGGCTCGGATCTCTCCAACCGTTGTCTGCAAACATGGGCGCATCAATGTGGTCGGGAAACTTCTCGAGCCCCGTATCGACATCCCTGCTGTCGGCGCCGGACTTGGAGGTTGCGCGCGACACGGATGGCTCGCGAGAGTACGAGCCGGAGGATGTGGAATGCGGCATCGCAGGCGGTTTGTTCGAGGGTTGGTTGTAACGAGCGACGGACTTCGAAGAAGCAAAAAGCGTAACCTTAAAACCAAGGGAGGAAAAGTCGAAACTGATGGACGGGTTGTCGCTTTCACTGGACCATTGCTGTCGATGTCTCGGCTGCTGGTAAAGCTGTCAAGCCAAGGAAGAGGGAAGTGGATCTTATCGAAAGCTGGGGATGGTTTTGGTGGCTGTCAATTATGAAGTCAAAAGAAAGATCAAAAGCAGCACCAAAGTAGCGCATTAGATCAGCGTTCATAAAATTGCATCGTGCATGGAAAAGATACGAGTTACAGCCGAGAAATCTGGAGATGCTAACCTTGTCGATGGCCACCCACTGCCGCGTGTTCGGCCCCTGTCTCCAGGTCTTTAGCTGGCGCGACAAGGCGCCAAATTGAACCTTTGATAGCTAACTTTCGGTCACTGCTTTGCGCCACTACACTGCTAGATGTCCAATCTGTGCTAACGCGCCCTATTAGGATCTAGGTGTCCGTCTTTTGACACTTGCAAACTGCTTCAGGCTCAAGCCTCTAATTAATGAGCTGGCAGCAGTAGAACCAAGCTCCAGCCACAGAAAAGTTCCAGGCAGGTGCATCTGCTTCAATTTAATCAACTACCACGACTGATTGCCGCGATCGCCCGTTGGCCGTGAGGTCAAGCACATCGGTATCAAAAGTAGTGACATTGAAAGAACGCTCAATCATTGCTTTCGGCAAAATGGCGGCAGCGCAGGTCAGCAAAAACCAGAGGCGGCGCGCAAAGAAGAAGGCCGAGAAGGCTGAGAAAAAGGCACAAGCTGAGGTATGGCTCCCATCTATCCGATATAGGATCATCACTAACGCTATACAGAGCTCTACGCCAGTCGAAGAAACCCAAGAGGCCGAAATAAATGGCGAAGAGGCTGCACAGGTAGATGCCGCGCCGGCAGACGCTCCCACTGACCTCGAGGTTAAGAAAGATGCTACAGCTCCCGCGAAAGCCGAGCCCGATGGTCCCGTCGAGATCGACTTCGATAACGATGATCCTGCTTTCGCCATGTATAAGCACATCTTTACCAGATTTGGCGCGTCTGGGGAAGAAAATGAGATCGCGAAAGAGGCCAATGCTGGCAACCAGGGCGAAGTCTTCTTCGATGACGACAATGAGATCCCCGACGAGGCGGAAGAGTCAGGACCACCCAAGCTTTCCAAAAAGAAGAGGAAACAGCTCAACAAGCTCTCAGTTGCCGAGCTAAAGGCATTGGTCTCGAAACCCGAAGTCGTTGAATGGCATGATACTTCATCCGCAGACCCGCGGTTACTGGTGCAAATCAAGGCGCAACGAAATGTTGTACCGGTCCCCTCACATTGGTCTTTGAAACGAGAATATCTTTCGTCAAAGCGAGGTATCGAGAAGTCCGCCTTCAAACTCCCCAAGTTCATTGCAGACACCGGCATTGCAGAGATGAGAGATGCCGTTCTTGAAAAGCAGGCAGAGCAAAGCCTCAAGCAGAAGCAAAGAGAACGAGTGTCAGGAAAACTGGGCAAGCTCGATATTGACTATCAAAAGCTCTATGACGCGTTCTTTAGATTCCAGGAAAAACCGACGCTCACTCGGTTTGGCGAGGTCTACTACGAAGGCAAAGAGTACGAGACTGATCTGAGGCATTTGCGACCTGGCGAGATGAGCGAGACCTTGAAAGAGGCTCTGAGTATTCCCCCGGGAGCTCCACCGCCATGGCTAATTCATCAACAACGATTTGGACCTCCTCCATCTTACCCATCCCTCCGAATTCCTGGTCTCAATGCCCCCATCCCCCCGGGTGCACAATGGGGATTCAACCCCGGATGCTGGGGTAAGCCACCCGTGGACGAATACAATCGACCTTTGTTTGGTGGAGATATCTTCGGTATCATGCAACCGACACAAGCAGCACCATCAGCTGGAGAGCCGGTTGAGCGTAATCTTTGGGGTGAGCTGCAACCACCAGAAGAAGAGTCCGAGGAGGAGGAGGAGGATGATGAAGATGATGAAGAGGAAGAAGACGAAGAGGACGTTGGTGCCGGCCTTCAGACACCTTCGGGCATGGAGACCCCTGGTGGTATGACCAGCACCGTGCCTACTGAGTACGGCACGCAGACTGAAGCCATGTCTGGCGAATTCGATCTACGCAAGAACAGACGTGGCCACGAAACGGAGGAGAGCATGCATCCCCGCTCAGCCTACACCGTCATCCCCGAGCGTCAAGCACGCGCAGAAGGTTTCTTCGGCAGTGACAGGACATATGACCTTAGCAAATCTGGTCATGGTGATATGCGCGTTCTGGGTCAGGACGATGACCGAGGCCACAAGCGCAAGAAGCCGGGAGATATTGATGTTGCCCTCGACCCTGAAGCCCTCATGTCTGGCGATGGTCTCAGCAAGGATGAACTAAGGCGGCGTTATGACGAGGGTAAACGTGAGGAAGGTCCCGGTGCTCAATGGAGAAGGGAGGAAGGTTTGGATGAGATGATTGCAAATGAAAGCCGCAAAAGACTGAAGCGGGATGAGGAGAAGCGAGACGAGAGGAAGAAGTACAAGTTCTAAATCATTAGGGGTTCATAGGGCGCATTGGGTTTCGATTAGACCTCAACGGGAACCTGTCTGTATGCTAATTCTGAAGTTGTAAGACAAAAATCATGATACCTCTTAGTACGCAATCTGTACGTCCTTGATGCTGGCAATTCGATTGGTTAAATATACGCTTTAGATCGAATGGTCGGAGCCACATTTTGAAAAGTAAGAGCGTGTTACATTTTCTAGCTAGAAATCGGCAATTACCGCCCAATATGCACGTCGCCATGTCCACAAGAACAACAACATTTTGTGACATGAATCCCTTTGATCAAATGCTCAAGTTGATGGCGCATTTGACTTGATGTGTGGAACATATGTCCTTCCCCCATCTCTTAAACTTCGTTGTTGAGGTCTATAAATGCTGCGGACAGTGCAAAAACAAGTTTTATTTATACCATTAAGATAGCATTCTCCTTTGTACATAATAACGATAATGAGTATCAGTGTGCGGTGGCGGAGATTCCCGGGAATATAGAATGGTTTGTTATACATATGGTTGAGTTCTACAACGTAGTTCCTGTTCACCCCTATACCTAGGTCTGCGCCATGCCAATATGCTTTCATGTTCGTAGTTGTCGTCACTGCTGAATCCTTTTTCTTTCTTTTTCCAATTTGCTCTTGCTGGCTGTTGTACAGAGTACCAACCACAGGCGTGAACACGTGACTGTTGCTCAGGGTGACACGCATTTCTTATTTATAGCACCCAGGACAGCCAGGATCAAATTGATACTTGGGATAGTCAGGACAGCTCGGATAATGAGGTGCGTGGTCGGCCTCGGAAACGACGATGCTCCTATTCCCCGTGATGCGTCCTTGTTAAGCATAGGTTCTCCGCCATGGTCTTCAAGTATGTGACTCCGCACCTCGAGCCTGGCTTACAGTCCTGCTCCACTGAATCTCAAACACATTGCAGATCGCAGTGTGGACTTCTGAACGCTGGGGCTACCGCCGAACACTCTTGGCTGCCCTGGCTGGTATCACCGCCTCGATATTCTTCCCATTCTTTGCAGAATATCTCGCAGTCTTCCTAATTGGAGAGTTCCTTCAAGTTATTACTACCTGGTTCATCTTGAACAGGATTGGGAGAAGTACATTGATGTTTAGTGGCATGTGTGTTATGTTTGTTCTGCTGCTGTAAGTTACAATATCTCCCTCCCAGATTACCATGAGAAATGCTGTCCTCGAAGTGACTCTCACGTTTTACAGCATCACAAGGTGTCTAGAAGTTTCCTCTTGACCATCTACAGCGGTATCGTGCACTGCAGGCAGCATGATTGTCCTTCTATCAGCAGTTACCAATTTCTCAATTGGCCCCGCGCCAAGTCGATCAAAGTAGCCCGTAACGCAGATAATGCTGTCAACACTGCCTTTGTAAATGTGATTTCTTGTCGACAATTGAATTCCAGCGAGGGGAATTGGGCACCAAAGGGGGCTTTCTTCTGGGCCTGTATGAATGCAATTTTTACAACTCATTACTATTTACGCTTGCGTAAGCCTTGACTACAAGTTGACGCGAATATATGTACTTACATGAGGGATGAATAGCAGAGACAAAAGGCGGAACATTTGCGGGACTGGATATACTCTGTACTATTCAAGAATCGTTTTCCAGCTGGCAATTTCGCTTCCACGAGGATTGAAACTTTGCTCGAGGGTGCCCAAAAGTCAAAGAAGGAGCAGAATGGACGCAAAATATGAAAGAGCTCAGCTTGTGAGGCTAGGGGCACAATTTCCATGACGCCCAGTTGCGGTTGGCGGTTCGTTGTCGAAAGTCCTAGTTGGGGGCGAGTATCACAAACGGTGGCACACTTCATGCACGACGCCCTAGCCTTGCCGTTCCATCTAATCAATATTTAATGACGATAATGACTAATCTCATAGTCCCTTGCTATTATTATTGTTCCAAGGATCAGATTTAAGAATGCTTACGTGAGACGATCGATGCATAAAAGGAGCATTCAGCCGCAGCCGGGGTTAGCTGGCTGCCTAGGTAAGCAATGCTGCCATCGTATAAGAATGATTTTTCTGCCCCAAGTATATAAATCCTGGGCCCCCCCGGTCACCTCGACGCAAACCCCCAATGTCACACAAGAACGCTTTTCGAAACTTTGTGAGCTAGTAGAGATTGCTGCAAGCTCATCATGGATACGTTGCAGTCAACCATACCTTTACGGCCACGAGGCAAAGAAGACTGGGAACACCACAAAGAAACGATATGCCACTTATATCACGAGCTTGGAAACCCACTCTGGGAAGTTTCCAATATCATGCAATCGAAGCACAACTTCATACGCACGTAGGTCAAGCTGAGATGCGGCGACTGTTATACCATACATTTCATATTCTACTCATACTCATTTAGAAAAAGAACAAGGCGGTAAGAAGTAGTAGAGACTAAAACCATATTACAGACACAGACAGTATAAATACCGGCTCAAGAAGTGGGGGTTTAGGAAGAACCTGAACACCGCAGAGCTAGATGAGATCCAGCAATGTGCAGCCACGGGAAGAGAGTTACTTCTACCGAGAGTCAACGGTCGCGAAATCGGTTCAAAGCGCCTAAAGACCTTTGTTGCAGTAGATAAGCAGCGCCGCAAAGCACGCCATTATGCCGCCGCCCCGCTGCGGCTCGGTGTCAACCACATTTCGGACTCTCTACGAATGGCCGAGATGGACCTCCACGCCGCAGTAACGCATACAAGGCACCAGTGCGAGGCGGCCAGCGAGAAAACTTGGCTCCATCCGGCCACATCTGCAAGTGGCAACTGGAATCATGATATGCTCCTGGCCATCTTGAGCTTACGCGGGAAATCCGAAGTCGATAAGTGCTTTCAGCTAATTGACAAATGCTGCGCGAGCTTCAAGACCGTCATGCAGGCAGGAGATCCGCTGCTACTTTGGTTCACTTACTGTTCCATCTTGGAGCTTTCCGAGGTCGGCATGGATCTTGCAATCGTGTTTGCGAGATTCGTGGCCGGCATCTGCACAATCGATGAGGGCAGGACACATCCTCTAACGGTTCTATTGACGAGCATGGTCAAGGCTCCAGTGAAAAGCGCATACAATCGCCACAACGTTATCAGGGTGGTGGATGCACAGTTTGATATCCTCATTGACATGTATGAAGAGGCCTGGGACAAGCTTTGGCTCATATATCTCAGATTGGTCTTGCGAAGGTTGACTGCAACGGGTGGGACTACACAGAGACAAGCCGTGGTCTCTTCCAACACGACCGTGCCACCAGAGTTGACGCAAAGGGGCCGTATCGATCCGTGGAAAGAGAGGGAACTGGTGACTTGGGTTCAAATTTACAAAGGCATTACATACATGGTTCGAGGAGAATTAATGCGTTCCTCGCTGATTCTCAATGACAAACGGTATAGCGACGCTTCGTGTTGGCCTCCTGCTACACGACCACCGACAAATATACGGGATCTGCGAGCTGGGATAGAGGAGATGCTGGTTCCATATACGAGCACTGAGAAGTTTTACAACTTTACATTAGCAACCATACTGGCGGACGGGCAGAAGGCGTCATATACGCCGGTTGACGACGATAGTCGCAAAGGCAATACGACTGCAAGTGCAATGGCAGAATGATAGAAGAAGTCCATGTTTGATATTACAAATACGACGGGCAAAGCTACATGGTGCTTTGGTGAAATGTGCAATTTTTGAGTGAAGCCCAATCAAGTACAGGTTTGTAGGCGTTTGCACAAATACAAACAAGCTTCATTGCATGCGCCTTGCCCAAACAAGTATTTCAAGACTCATGGAGTATTCGAGTTGCAAAGAGCATATAAGGTAAAGTAAGTAGTGGTATGATGAATGATTGATAACAAAGACGGTTGATGTATTTTGGAAAAGGTGCTTTAGTAGAAGTTCAAGGCATAATGGGAACAATTTTATACATGAAAGACTACATTAATATTGATATTGATTTAGAGTATTCAGTGTCGCTGCAGTTGCGAGTTTGGCTGGCATGGGTTGCTTCTAAGACCCTTGTAACGGCTACGATTAGCGGGGCACAATGACGAGCTTCCAGCTACCAACTGTGGGAAAGTTCGGCTACAAGCTCAAATCGAGGCGCGCGTAACTCACAACGCCGAGCTACGGAATACAACCAACACAAATACATCTTGCGATTTCCACGGGCATGCAGTAATTCAGCTTCACAGCGAGCGCAAAGCTCCTCTCACCTCGTCTACAATCCATCGCCCACGCATAGGTCCAAAGTACATTTTCAGAAGAACAACCAAAGACACCGAGTTTCTCCCGTGCCTTCCGCAGACATGACTAGGTCCAACATTACGAAGCTTGGCCGTGCTGTCGGTCGAGGGCTGCAGGCCCGCGCTGTGACGGCAATGCGCCCAGCGTACACGCAGAACTTTGCACAGAGACAGACAAATGTTTTGCGCACTTCCACCGCCGCATTCTCGACCAGCTCGGCCCTGTTCAGACCCATCTCTGCCGAGGCCTTGAAGACGGCGCAGCCCGCCCAAATCACCGACGAGCAGTACCACAAGTTGGCAGATCAGTATCTGGACGACCTCTTGGTCACGTTTGAGGAGGAGCAAGACGCCAAGGATGAGATTGACGTCGAATACAGTGTAAGTTCACATCAAACTGGGTCACTCTTTGCGCTCCAGGCCGGCTAACTCCCCCAACTTGTACAGGCCGGTGTGATGAACATCAAGTACCCGCAAGGAACCTACGTGATCAACAAACAGCCCCCGAACAAGCAAATCTGGCTCTCTTCTCCCATCTCCGGCCCGAAGCGCTACGACTACGTCATCATTAGTGAGGGACAGGAATCAAAGCAGGACACGGCCACTGGCGGATGGATCTACCTCCGAGACGGCACGTCTCTGAACGAGCTTCTGCAAGAGGAGACGGGCATCAACCTCGAAGCATTAGATGGTGACTCTGTCGAGTCTCTATAAAGAAAATCTTGCACGTTGCCCGCATTTGTTTCAATAGAAGAAGGACAGAGACGAGAACAAGACGAGAAGGAAAGCATTTGCACGGAGTTTCGGACAAACATGTAATATACTGGTCACACTCTGCTTTTCATGAAGAATGGAGTGGACGTCTACCAAAGAGCATGCACATTATGTGCACTGATACCACTATCAATGGACTTTCTTGTTCTTTCCCCCCCAATCGGTTCAAGGGAAAGTCATCAGAGCTTGCATTTGGAAGTATCAAAATGTACCATACTTGACCTGCGCTATTGAAAGTAATGACCTGAATGTACTTTTAGGCCTTCTTGCTTGCCCATGTGTGTTACTTATTGGCGAATAACAACGCAAAGAATATCTGAGCTGTCTAGATACCCAACTCTCAAGCCTACAAGATGGTGAGCAACACTGGAAAGTGACTCCAACATCTGTTTCGCGTACCGCAATTACATTGCCATGACCGACTGGACTCCGTTACTGTGAAATATAACAGTTGATTCTACTAACCAGTATCTCTTATACGGTACCATCACCAAAGCTTGGGCTGATCAAGATATACGAAACGCATCTCCTTGACCAATCATCACCTCTCGTCATCAACATCACCTTATCAACACCATCCCTCATCGTCAACAGCCACTCTCACGGGCCCGCGTATATTCCGGTTTGTTTCAAGCCTCTTCGGACCATTTCAGACGGACCTATCTCCAACAAACATACCAATACAATATTACGGCTGAGTGGTGAAAATGGTAACATGCCGAGCTACAATACTTGTATTTCTAGGTGGGTGGCCCTCCCCGATTCCCTATCCTGGAGCTTATCTTGGGATAAGCCGGCGATAATCGTGTTGGAATATCTTGTACAGAGACTTGGAGAACAGAGGTCCCAATCTTTCCTCAAACAGAACTTTTCTTTTCCTAGTCAATTCTATTCACCAACTTGAACCAACTTGGAAGAGAGATGGTTGGCTTCACTACGCTTATAAACTCCTTGCGAGGCATCAATGACGTACAAGGTTAGGGTCGATTTCAAATGACTAACATTGCATTTGTTGTTGAAAAGGTCTTTGTGAAAACAAGAATAAACAGTTGCTCATGTGCCCTGGACATCACAGTCGGATCGCGAGCAGACGAATCGGCGATCCAATGCTATATTACAGGCCACGGCGTGCTTGTCTCAGAGAAAAGTTTCTTCCCAGATCATAGAAATTACATGTGACTATTTTGTCGTTGTATCAAGAATCTCCATAGAGGAGTGGCTAGGTTCTACATCGTATTCGTAAGATTCGGGGCTCGGGGTGTGAATGCCACAATATTAAATTTCCAGACGTCACAAATCCTGACAGTCACAGCCTCCTATACGAGCTCTCCAACTTAGTGTTGATCGATGTTTCTATTATCCATCGTTGTTTATTAATCGATTAACCTGTTTGCTGAGATATCCACAACCAGATGCCTCAGGAAGGGGGAAAATGTATAGCCAATGTCTAAATACTTACCCAAGTAGGTAGTTCATCCCACGCACCATCATGATGAATGATTGCGTAACACCTACAATCATCCCGTTCAATTGTTGTGGCAATACCAAGAAATGGGCTGAAAGATGTTATCGTCGTGGGCTCGGCAATTGTGACCACTCCGAAAAAATGAGGCTCAAAATGACCCCTCTCTCCAATGCAAGTAGCCGTGGGATGCTTCCCTAAACAGAAACTCCTAACCGTCGGACTCTCGGCATTCCTGAACGAGACTGTCCGATAAGAAATATGGAATCATTGAGGATAGATAGGTTGGATGGCTTTGTATCCGATTTGATAACACGACAAGTTTTCGGTCCAAAGCACCCTTGCGGATCGCTCAATCACAACGTGCCAAAGTAGTGAAGTGGCAGAGTCACGAGCTGAAAGGCCACGAATCAGAAATCTGACGATATCGCGCTATCCGCGCAGTTGGAGCGTGGGTTTTTTGATGGTCTGAAAAACATCCTCCTGCACCCGGTATGAACACGGTATACACGGAAGTGTCGATAGGAAGGCATCCCCACTTTGGTCCCAGTCGACGACGCTTCGCCGCCTGAATGTTATTGAGGATGGTTAAATACAATGAGACACTCTATCAAGATGTACAACAAGAGCCTTTGGTCGAAGGGGTGGTCTGCTCTGACGGATGAAACTCTAGAGAACCAAACTAGCCGGCTGTATTCTCACTCGTATCCCGAAGCATCACAACAATCAGTTGAGCTACCCCGCATGCAACTAAGAACACTCTGCCGCTTGTATCAGCGGATGATCTGCTATGCAATCTCCATCATGAATGAATAATTGCCACTGTCAGGATTTCATGGCATGGTGGGGGGAGATGTGACCTTGCGGCTCTGCTGGATAGATCATAGCATCCACCGGAGCGCGGCGATGAGCATAAAATAAGGGCTCAGCGGTCGAAGAACTGTCAGATTGAGAAGAATTAGCAATACCATTCAAACCAAGACAACAGACACCAACATCAGTTCTTCGCTGCTTACACAATGGCTACCGCAGTACTATCATCACCTCTTTCGTATTTCCCTTCGAAGAAGCAGGCCGAGTCCTTTTGGGAGGCCATATCTCAGAACGTCCCGGAAATTGTTCGCGTTCCATTAGGGTTTCCGAAGAAGCTCATATCTCCCTTGGCATGGAAGGCACAGGCCATTCAAGCCCGCCTGGAAGAATATGTAGTCGAGTTGAGCCAAGAGGATGTCGATGACATTGAATCAGCTCTTGCTTCCTTCAAGGGTAACAATCATATCTCCCTTCCTTCCATGTGAGCTAATGACTTGACAGATATGTTACTGGACACTTCTGCCTTATCAACGGAAACTTTTCCACTAAACATGAATCTTTCTCGTCGCTTGAAGGCTGTATCATCTGAATGCTATAGTGGTGTAGGCTTCAGCATCGTTCGTGGACTCGATCCGTCCAAGTATTCATCGGTCGACAATGTCATCATTTATGCCGGAATCGCAAGTCACATAGCACCCGAACGTGGCTTCGTTGACCGGAAGAGAGAAAGTGTCATCAGTGTGTGCTACCAATGACAGGTCGAGTCAAGTATATACTGATGAAAGTTAGGTCACCTCCTCAATGTGTCGTCTGCCGTTACACCAGCATACACCTTGGAGAAAGTCGTACGTAGCCCTTGTAATGATGAACAGGGCCTGAGGTTGACATTGATCAAGGCATTTCATTCTGACAATTCGGAAATAATGGGACTATATGTCCTCGAAAGTGCTCAAATGGGCGGCAAGTTGTCACTCTCAAGTTCTTTCAACTTGTACAACGAGTTGGCATCGAATCATCCTGGTGTGCTTGAGACTCTTGCTGGTCCTTGGGTTTTGGATACGTGAGTGGCGCCTTCGAATTCTTGGTATGTGATGAAATACTGAAATGCTGGCACAGATTCAAAGACTATGCAAAGTATCCACCGCTTTGCGTGCCGTTCCTCCACAGAGCAGGATCTGACAAGATTGTATTCCGATTCTCTCGATATCCTTTGACCGGCTTCCAAGGCTTGAAAAGAAACACCTCTCTACCAAGCCTTACAGAAGCCCAGATCAAAGCAATGGATGCAGTGCAATTCCTGGCTACTGCGAACTCTGTTGAGATCCCAATGACAAAAGGCAATATCCTGTTTGTCAATGATCAAGCCATCCTCCACGCGAGAGGCGCATTCAATGATAAGGATTCCACTCAACGACATCTTCTGAAAATGTTCCTGCGAGATCCGGAGCGTAGTTGGCCTGTCACCGAAGCAGCCCTAGAACAGCAACAGAGGATCTATGGACCGAATTGCGCCGATGGCACCAGAGCTGAGACATGGTGGACGGACTTTGAACAAGGACAGGAAGCCGAAGCACCAACCAATGGCTAGGACTTGTCCTAGCATCTGTCACCTGCTTGTCGGAAGGGCATCCTAGCTCAAGCTGTGACTCAGGTTCAGATATCGGGGGGTTTGTTATGGAGATATTGGAGCTCTCAGTGAATTAATAGCTCAAACATTTCTCTTTTCCCTTTTTTCCTTTTTCTATTCCCTTTTAAATCGTCCCGTTGAGAGTCAAGAGAGCTATTGGTGAGGTCTATGATGTGAGAAAGTCTTCCTCTGTGAAGTCGTCGTTTGGCCTGATAGGGTCGAAGTCGCTCTTCCAGTCCACTATCAGGAGTTGAATGACCCAGAACATCGAGTCTTGGTACATGTCTCTTTGTTGCCAGTCTTTTAATTGACCTATTACACAACTTAGTCATGTCTCTGGACATTTTGTTGCAAATGGTATGGGACCGCCTTACCTTCCCTGATCATGAAGTGTCGTAAAGTATACACAAACCTTTGCTGCTGTTCAGGCATTGGTTCTTCATCTTTGCCAGTTTCGATGACCGAGAAGAACCTCTTCGAGCCGAGGTAAGCGAAGTGGAAGTATGCGAGTAAGGACTTGCATGTGAATACGTTTCGCTCCGATAAAGAAGGGCGACCACGGAATTTGGATTTCTAGATGTTGGTCAGCATTCACCAGCGAGATGACGGGCGTAGTTGAGACTTACTTCCATGCCATGACGAGTGGTGTACTCTACTACATCTTTGAAGATGCGTTGGAAATTATGGAGGATAATGATCAACGCTAGGAGAACCTCATACCAATCGGTGGTATCGCGGTTCTCCATTTTACGACGAAGCTCTCGAAGGAACTGGGTGGCGTGTGGCTTCAGAAAGGAATTGATGGCGATCTCATCTAGTTGTGTGTCCATTATTGGCGTCACTGGAACGGTGCCGTACCAGGGGTTGTCGGTTTCCGTTGGGGGCTCGAATTCGAGCTTGTCATCACCACATATCGTCCACGTCAGCTCCGTGAAGCGCGTACCACACCACATATCTAGAGCATGTCGGAGAAATAGAGACTAGGTATGGTATGTCAACCGGCTGTAAGACACTCGCATGGCTTGACATGTACGATACTTACGTTTTGGCTGACGCGATGGGCTTCGCGGAAAGCCTCTCTAATGACATCTCCTTCGTCGCCCAAGAGTGATATCAAGTATTGGCCTGCTGAGTCGCTTCTAAATCGTTGAAGAAGAGCATGGCTGATTGATTGCATGTCACAGATGTAGTATGGGGGCATGTTCATATGCTGAATCTCCTTATTGGCGTCTTTCCAGACGTACCAAGTCTTGTCTTGACGTCCCATCGCGTACGGAACGACTGGGACGTTCAGGACGAGACCAGGTATCCCTTGAGAGAGCTGTATTTTCCGGCGATAGATACCGGAAGCATGAAACGAATGACAAACTTGAGTTCTTTTACGCGACATCCATTCCTCGAGGATGGTAGTACCAGTAGATCCTACATCATGTTAGTATCGCATTGAGAGTAAATGGGTTGAGACCGAGTGGGCAGACCATTGCGATGAAGGCTTAGACCAAGGAGATCCACCCGAATGCACAATCCATATTCAGGCCCAGCTCTTGCGGACTTTCGTGCTCGAAGACAGTTTGCACAGGGTGTGAGTCCACATGTGGGCCGATCGCACTTTGAATGTTGTCAGCCAATTAGGTAATATGCTGATGAAGAGCCCTACCCGTTGCTTAAGAGCCTTGCATCGATTACAGGCAGTCAGTTGACGGGTTCTCTTGGTTCGAGCATTTTCACTGGCAGTCAAGTCACGTCTGACTTTTTCGCGCGCCCCAAAGACATGGAATTGGCCATGTCTTCGTCCCAGGGCATCTATCTTGACGATAACCTTTGGCTTCTGTCATCTGTCAGTCTCCGCAAGCAGAACTTTGTTCATGGCATTGATAATACCTGATCGCGTGACAGAGCATCACGCCGCGAACCTGGATTTCCCGTCGGCGCCAATCTGCAAGGCTTCTTACGTATGTGACCATACGGATTGTATTGAGAGATCTGGAATTCGCCTCCAGAGTTTTGTAGGCCATTGCCAAGTAGGGGAATATATGCGGCTTCCTGGTTATACGCAGACAGCACAGGTGCAGTTGAGATGGAAGAGCTGGGTCTCTTAAGGGTCGAGGAGCCCAGGGCCGACAGGAACGAGGAATGGACAGCCGAAACTTGGCTTTGTATCAAGAGGTTCTCGGAATGAGATGCAAAGATTGATGCTGGATCATATGACTGCTGCCGTACATTTGTCCATTGGGCCTGTTGCTGGCTGGTGTCGAGAGGGAGCAACGGCTGCGCAGGCAGCCCGTCAAAGTTTTCGCGCTCCCTCATCAAGGGAGCTTCGTCAGTGGCCTCGTAATCAAGTGCTTCAAGTGGAACTGGTAATGAAGCAAGGTTCGACCACGTTGCCACGTAGAGCGTACCACTTTCCAAATGCTCTTCGTTCATTGCCCTCTCTCACCTGTATCAGACGCAGTGTGGAACTCGGCTCGCCAATAATGATGTTGATGCAAGCGTGGTGTTGCAGTATTGGACAAAAATGTGCAATTTAGGAAGGACGGTGAAACACCGACTTCATATCATGATGAAATTCGAGCCGACATGTGCTTGCCGCAACTCGTCCTTTGCGTAAACCTCCGGCCATCGGCAATAGACAATAGACGCCGTGGATGCCCAATCCAGAGAGTGAAGACCAATCAGAATGATGTTGCTTGTAATAGTCTGTAAGATTCCCATAGATGCCGGGCACCTTATAGCCCCCATCTGACAGCAAATATTGCAACCAAATGAAGGCGCAGTCCAAGACCACGACAGCTTGCAGCCGTGCTGACGGCAGGAGCTGAGCACTTCAACTACCCCACCAAGCACTTTCCCCCAACAAGACATCGGCGGCAGAAGGGGAAATCGGCGAAGAAGATCCCGTGATGCTAAGAAGGTTGGCGGATAGCAGCGAACCCATTGCAGGGAGCTTCAACCGGGAGACGCGGGACAATTTGTGAAGCCTTCGTGCCCAACTATCCTGGCTATCCAAGTATACAAGCAGAGGAGGCGCCGCTGCAACTGACATCGCTGCCCAACGGTATGTTTTTACACTCTTTCTTTAGGCGACTTGTTGAGTCATTGTCCAAAAGAATCAAGAAAACTACCTTGCGACATGAGCGACGAACCTGCTAGTCATATTGTGGTGAGAGTCGCTACAATGGAAGACTTGGACGACTTGACAAAGATTGCTCAGGCCGGATTCCCGGACGACCCAGAGTTTGACTACCGCTTTCCGCATCGCCAAAAGTACCCTGATGATCATTGGAGGTGGACGAGGAGAGAATATGAGGGATACCTTAATCAGCCTGACAAGTACGCCGTGCTTCTCGCCACCTTACCAACCAATCAGAAAAGTGATGAGTACAACGATGAGCATAAGCAAGAGCGTGAGCTGAACCGGAGCTGGCCGGTCTCCGTCGCGCTCGCAGTCTGGGACATGGCAGTTACTACAGAATCGCAGGTCAGCGGTCTGTTTCCCCTCCATGCCTCTGGCAAAGTCATCAATTGCGGCCGACCACTGATCAGTTTATACCCGGTAGATATAGGTATCGATCAGCGTCGAGATGCCAACCCGGAACACATGTTGGAGTTTGCCAACACACTAAGTAGTGCCTTTGAGACGCATTTTGCCAAATATGCAGGAAATCAGATACATTTATGGCTACTAACAACCCACCCCGACTTTCGCCGACGCGGTGCAGGCTCAGCGTTATGCCGCTGGGGGCTGCAGCTTGCACAGAAAAGAGGGCAGCCAGTCACTGTTCTGGCGAGTTGGATGGGCAAGACGCTATACGAGCAACTTGGTTTCCAAACTCTGGGAATCGTCGTCGTCCAAGTTCCGAGTGAAGAAGAGAAGCTCGAAGTTTCCTGTCTGGAACGGAAGCCGGAACATGAGATGACGTCCGGTCGCGGGAGTTGCATTATACTGTAATGTGTCCCTGTAACATCAACCACGTGCTGAGGCGGAGCAATCCAACGTCGCACGCCATCGTTAGCCTGCTGGCAAGAATTGGACGAAAAGGAGAAAAAAAATGAGGAGAACACAGGATTCAAAAGATGACAAAGCAACTACATAGGAGTATTGTAACGTCTTTCTTCACGTGCTTGGAATTATAACTGGGTGCGCGCCCAAGTCAAGTCAAGGTGGCGGAGCCCGAGTAGACGACAGGGCCCAAGAAAGTTGCCGATATCCAAATTCAGACATCGGCTGACAATCCAAGCATTGAAACAATTTTAAGAAACATTTCATTCCTACTAACTTTTCGTATTGGCTGTGCGAATCTCGGATATTGCCAAACTCGAGGACATTGAGAACAGTGTTAGAGGCTGAGTTGCATACTTGGGTGACGAATAGTCAGGACAATCATATAAAATAATAACAAGTAGTCAAGTCCTCCGTTCAGTTCACTTTATTCTACTCAATGGCTAGTCTTACAAAGCCTATTCAACACGCCGTAATCTTCTTTCTCGTCCTATCTGCTTAGTCGGTGTAATAAGCCAACCAATATGGGTAGCTTTGGTAGTGTAGACTGTGCCTATAGCTCACCTCCTACTCTCAGATCATCCACCCCTTCGTCCCAGGAACGGAGCATTTCCTGCGATTTTGACCGAACGGCGGAACCTCCTGCAGGACTTACCACCTACGCCCACATTGGCACCTGGATCTCCGCTTGCAGTTTGGAGACCGCAACCAATCGACCCCAGCAATTGGACATCAGCTCTGCGCAAGAGCACCCCAGCCTGGTTCCCTTACCACTGTATGACAATGGCCGAGGATCTACTTCACCAACTCTGTGTCGTTACCTAGATGATTACGACACAGTTCCGGTCAATGAGAAGCTTCTTGCAAAAATCACATTTGGAACACCCATGAATAATGTCACATGAGAGCCTTTTACCGAGTCGGCGTCGTTGCGGCATGTACTGCAGCGACTAATCTAGCTCTCAGGAGACAGAATTTATTCGTCCAGCATACTTCCACCCACAGAGAGAATTGGCGACAAGGGCGAGCCTGTAGCTGCATAGCCACATTCTCGGCATGGTTGACATCTGGGCGCGGATCGAGATATCCATAGGATGTTCCGGGCTATGCTGTCGAAATCACTCCGAATGAGCGCCAACGGGCTTTTGTTCAGTACCAAAAAGAGCATGATAACGCTCCGTCATGTCTCCAGTACGGAAGTGCTAAAGGTACGGGACAAGACGACGTGGAGCTCCGGAGACCAATGGTACCCACGGGGGAGATCTCCATCAAGATAAGCCGATCAGTGGGTAGCCCGGAGCGTCTCGGCGCGGCAAAGCACCCCGCCCCAGGATTCAATCACTATCCTGATCTTACTTTGAATGAAGCAGCATCTTGTTAATGTATAGTCCCAGGGGTTCAGGTGGATGGGTTATTCTAGTCTATGTGCACACGCAATTTATGCGTAGGAGGAACATTTAAGGCCAATCAAAGAGACTTCAACCTTGTAGGGAGATGCGAGGGAATATAGTGCAGTTTATACCTATATTTTATGGGGGTACCTCACCTAGGTACGGATTTATACCTGCGTATCATAGCAGCTGAATTGCAGTTGGGCCCTTCTAAGAAGCCGCCAATGCAATGCTGGAAGGCGATGCAACCTTGAATCCTACCATTGACCAGCGCACCTTCAATGTGGTCAGCTGCTTTCACATTGTTTCTCTTGTTCACTTTGCACTTTTTCCCACCTTCCAGGTTTACCATTACCCGTGCCAATGTGGTTTTAGTTGCCATGGAAGCACTGACAGCTTTGTCAGTAGCCAGCAGCGTAATTGCCTTTGTGGATTATGGAGGCAAAATATTATCCAACGCCGAGCAAATCTACAAATCCCACCGCGGTTTCTGTTCTTCTGTGGTGGATATCGAGACTATTGCCAATGACATCGACCAACTTACGGAAGGTCTCAGGAGGAATCTGCCTCAGTTCCGTCCGATTTCGCAGCTGAAAAAAGAGGATCGCACTGAAGACGACGACGCGTTGGACAGACTGTGCATTAGGTCCCACGAGATCGCCATTGTGTTGCTGGGTCGTATCAGAGAATTACAACCAAAGGCGAAGAACCAACCGGCCGGAAAAGTAGAACACAAGTCAGAGACTCGTGATGCAGGGTCGGGGCTTGGGGCCGTGTCTGCCCGCCAGGCGCTGCAGCTTGGCAATGATGGTTCAGTGGCAGACGAAATTGAGACGAAACGGCGATTTTCCAAATGGTCAAGCTTTAAGAAAGCTCTCGCTGCCACTTGGAATAAAAGCGAAATGGACGACTTGGCGGCAACACTCAAAGGATTTCGAGGCGAGATTGAGTTTCGTATTCTCATTTCAATTCGGTATGTCAGAATCCGCGGCTTGGCAACCGTGAGCAACATGCACTTCTAATCACAAGATAGCCGGTCACTCAACGAGACAACAATGCAGCAATCGCAAACCTCTAAGGAAATTTTGCGGTCGACCCAGAAAATCCTAAACAGCTTTTTGAATGCAAGAGATGAGCTTGCCGATTTACTGCGGCTGCAAGCGACGAAAATCATTGAAATCCAGGAAGCACAAGCCAAGAGGGAGGTCTACGATATCCAACGTCGGAATGAAGTTCTGAGAGGCAAGATTCAGGCAGGAAGTTTCCTTTGTCAAAAAGGATCCGATGTTCCCAACACATTTGAGCCTGCATCTTTCGCCCAAGAAGCGCAGCTCGAAGAGGAATTGCGCACCCTCGTGACGGAAAATGGGATTCTTGAAATTCTTTCATTCGCGACGTTGGATGACCGCCGAGAAAGTATCGATCTTCCTCATAACGAGACCTTCGAATGGATATACGAAGGGCCTGAGAACATGGACAGAAAATGGAGTAACTTTGTCGAATGGCTCCGAATTGGCAGCGGAATTTACTGGGTCAATGGTAAGGTCGGGTCTGGCAAATCAACTCTAATGAGGTATATCTTTGAGAACATAAAGACGATGGAAAACTTCAAGGCATGGGCGGGAGAGATGCCTGCCAAAGTGTACGGGTTCTTCTTTTGGAGGAGTGGGGATGAAGAGCAGAGATCTCAACGCGGACTCTTGAGATCTCTGCTCTACATGATTCTCCAAGGCCATCGAGACCTGATTCCAGAGGTGCTTCCAGAGGTCTGGAATATTGTCTACTCGAGAACAACAAGCATCATGGGTGCTCGCCTGCCTCCTGACTCTCCGCTACTCCCGCCTCGGCCAAAGTCTCTGACAATGATGGAGCTCAAGGACGCCTTTCGAAGGCTGCTCCGAGCTCTCGAGAACAGAGTCAAAATTTGCCTGCTTATAGACGGGCTCGACGAATATGAGGGAGATTATCTGGACATTGTTGAACTTTTCAATGAATGCGCCGAGTCGCCAGCCATCAAGCTGTGCCTTTCCAGTCGGCCACTGCTTGTCTTTGAACAAGCATTTGCAGAGTTGCCGGGTATGAGGCTGCAGGACCTGACAAGAGAGGACATCACACAGTACGTGCGATCGCGACTTTGCAGCCACCAGTACATGGTTCGGCTCACGAAAACATACCCTGGCGATACCTCGAACTTGATTGATGACATTGTCAATAAGTCAAGCGGTGTGTTTCTCTGGGTCAAACTTGTCGTCAGGTCTCTATTGCGAGGTCTCTGTGATCAAAATCGTATCTCGGATCTGCGAGCGAGAGTTGAAGAGCTACCGGAAGACATGGAGGCATTGTACAATCACATGCTAGGAAGCACCGACCGCATTTACTACAAACAAGCATCACAGATTTTCCAACTGTTCCGCGCCGCCCAAAGGACCTCGCCAAGCAGAATAACCTTGCTACACCTATCCTGGGCAGACGAGGAAAATCACATGTGGGCTGAAAATGCTCCTATTCAAGCCTTGCAGGACGAAGAAATATCACTCAGGTGTGAGATGATGGACGCTCGTTTGAAGAGTGTCTGTGCCGGTCTTCTGGAGTCAAACAAGAGCCGTTCTTCCACTGACGCAGCAGACTCGAAAGTCATGTTCTTGCATCGAACTGTCTCGGACTGGATATCGCAGAAGGACGTGTGGGAGGGGCTCGTATCAAGGACTGCCGACGAAGCATTCAGCCCAAATCTTGCCATGTTCAAATCAAGACTCTTGTGTCTCAAGAGTCTAGACACGGCCACCAGAAAGCCTCTAGACGCGACCATCGTAGAGCCCCTAGACACGACCGTTGGAGAACCCCTAGACATGGACATAATCTCGGATGCCTTGACCTATGCTGTACTCGCGGAGAGGGACCTGGATCGCGGATTTCCTAAGTTGCTAGACCATCTCGATTACGTTGCGTCGGTCCAGTGGCGAAAGCATGCCGCCAGCACAGCTCAAAATAACAGCGCACTATTGGGAGCAGGTACCTAACCCACCTAAGTCCTGCATAAATACATAATAAAGATACTGACGCACAGGGACAGTTGTTACTGGAAAGGAACATAGTTCGCCCCAGAGTCCTAGTCGTGCCTCCCGCACGGAAAAACCCCAAGCGAAGCTCATACTGGATGATTCAGACTCCGACGAAGACACTTTTGTGGACGCATGCTCCACGTTGGAAAGACCCCAAGTGTCAACCCGGTCCCCTGCGCTACACATTGACAATCGAGAGTACAGCCACTGGTCGCGTGGTATCAGCATCGATTTTATCAAACCTCATGGGGTGGAAATTCCATTTTTTGATCTCACCAAAGTCCTGGGGTTATCCCACTACGTCCACAACAAGGACCAGACTGGCCTCGTTGCTGGGGATCAAGAGGTTAATTACCATGTGCTTATGCACGGGATTTCATCAACGTATGAAGGCCGCAGTGTCGTTCTCAGCCCTCCCGACCCACATCTCGTCGAGCGAATTCTGGAGGGGGGAGTTGACCCCAGTTTTTCTTATACCGGCTTGACCCCGTGGGAGAATGTGTTACACAATGTGGTGTCAGTATTCATCTTGTCCGCGAATGATAATCCAGAGTGGCAAAAGGCAGCCGCTCAGTGGACTGAAATATTCCAGATCTTCTTAGAGCATGGGGCTGACCCCAATAAACTGACTGCGAGGCATCCGAAGCTGCCCGGTATGGCCAGAGCAACGCCAATCATGGTGGTGGAGAAGTACTTTCCTCCTTCCATGTGGGAGCGTCGGACAGAACTCGCGATGCTGTTGAGGAGCAAGATTGCTGAGATGGAAGCCCAGCGCAACCGCAAACCTGGAGCTTTACCAGAATCCTCCTTGAAGCAAGAAGCGGTTTCTTCAGCAAAAACAGTAGAGAATGGTACAATCGTTGGCTGGATCAAGTACC